ATTAGATGCAACATGTTGACTCAACTACATAACCTATATTTAGGTGATTACCTTGAAAGAGAAAGGATTTTTCAGTTATTGAATATCCTCATTCTGATCTTTAGTGCTGCTTAAAAGGTCAAGCTTCGCTTCATATCCTCTTAAACAATAGTCTCATCGTTTCAAGAAGTTGAAAAAAGAATAATAAAATATGGCCATGTTTGGGCATTTTTACCTTTTTCCTCATTTTTTTTTCATTTTTCCCACCCTTGTTCGCTTTGCTATCTCTCTCTTCACATATTATGTTAGTCATGCATCTCTTCAAGACGTCTGAGTATCAGTTTACTAGAGTTACATAAGGTTAGGTCGAAGATCTGACTAGCTCATGAGGCTTTTTAAAAATTCTTTTCTTAATTTCATCTTCTCATGTTAATCTTCTCAAGTTCACGAAGATTCTTCCGAACTTCTTTGAGCAAATGTAAATGTGATATTTTGGTCATTCATTACATCTTAATCTGTCTATTTGATTTCGTTCGTTCATACCAAAAGCTTCATGTAAATTCAATCTCTCCCACTTTCTGCATACACGTCGTCGTCGTCAGCTTTTGTCAATCTCTTGTGTTTCCATTAACTTTGGTCATATCACCTAAAACATGACACAATCTTGATATATTTGCTCTGAGGACATATCGTTTGGCTAATTCTCTATTTTCCTTTACTAATTCATTTATTTCTAATTTTATTTTGCCGCCTTTGTCATTTATTCAAATTTCATTGCGAATTCAATTTACTTTTGTGTTTTTTTAATTTTTTAATTTGCAAACTTGATGCAATGAGAGAGAGGGAGAGGGAGAGAGAGAGAGGGAGAGAGAGACAGAGAGAGAGAGAGTGAAAGCCATATATAGATATTGAGTAAGAGAGTAGGTGGAGATTGTGTAGAATGATGGAGAAATGACGACAATCATATTCGATTAGAAGCAATGAGGAAGAAAAGGCAATGAAAAGACTGTTTTGCATTCAAATTCTTCGTGGATGATATCCTGTAGGAGCTGGCAACGTGCTTGCTGACTTCACTTCAGTGTATCCGAACGTGAAAGCTACTTGAAATGGAAGCGAACGGAAGTGGGAGTATGCAGATGAAAAAAAAAAAAATTTTTTTTTCTCAGCTTCTGCTCTGCCAGCTAGCCAAGCAGGCAGCCATGTCTCTTGTCTGATCAGCTTCTGATCTCATTTGATCATTTCTTTTAAGTTCTTCACTCATTTTTTTGGGTGAATGTTTTCAAATTCAAATGGGTAATTTAATCTTTCTTTTCCATCCTCTCCTTCGTTTCTTATTGTTGTCGCATTGTTGGATAACATTCCTTACATGGAGTCTTTATATTTTCTTTTTTTTTTTATTTTCTCCACCATCTTCCTTAACTTTTCTTTTTTTTCAAGAAAAAAATGATGTGATCGTTGAAATCTTTTTTTTTTTTCATTATTCTTCTTCTGCTTCTCATTGAGCACATTCTCCAGATGATGCTCTGTATGTTTTTTACAATTACTTAATCAGTCATTTCCTTCTCATATCGTCATTGTCAACCAGAAGGACATTGTTCGTCATGTGCTTGTTTCGTCCCCCCCCCCCTCTACATCATTCTCTCTTTACGTATCCTTCTTTCTTGTAACTTCATCTCTCTTTCTCCCTCGTTATCTCTCTCCCTCCCAATGTCTCTTTTAAAGCATTTTGAGCTCCTGCTCTCGTTTTTTTCGTTTTGATTCTTACACATCGAAACGATATATGGCCAATACATCCACCCATTTACCATTCATACGACTCGTTTGTATTTCCTCCTGAATTGGATGTTCTATTCTCACTTTTCTGCTTGTTCTCACATTCAAAGTGATGGCTTATATGTCTGAAGATAAAGCTCCATCTCTTTCTGTCTCTCTCTCTCTTTATCTCTCCCTCAATCTATGTCTCTCTTCTCTCTGCTTTATCTCTAATTTTTTATTCTACTCTCATTTTTTCTTTTACTCTTTCAATCAGCTTATATGAACATGTCGTCTGAATGTCTTTCTGTCACTTCTGTCAGCCCAACGTCCTTTGATCGCCTTCCGGACTGTTGTCTTCTAGATGACGTTGAGTCGACTTCTCGTCTCTCATCTAAATGTCGGCTCATAATGCTGAAATATAGTAACCACTTGACGATGAACCTATTTGATTCCTTCTCAGAAATATTATTTTTGTCTGTGGTAAAGGAGATTATTTGAAAATCTTTGAAGCTTCATCGTAGTTAAGCTAATTAATCGGCTGAAAGCAAAATAGATTTCATTGATATTTGCACCTTTTAAAGGAATTTTTGAGTACCTTATATGGCAGTTGTTTAACAAGCCATTGATCATACGTCCTTTTCTATGCTGAAAGCTCAAAGAACAACCGTCCTGTACGCAACAATCAAATAAAAATTGAAATTGTCTACATTGAAGGACAAACACGTGTAACACGTGAACTCTTACATTTACATAATCAGACTGAATGTCATAGTGGTGTTTGTTTCATTCATCTTGGCTCAGCTTCACACACACACACACACAGACATACAATGCTTATCAAAGATGGCAATAATTGTGGGTGTAGAGTATGCTGAGAATCTAGCAAGAAGCTAGTGCCTGATGGTGTGAAGACTTCAGCCAGCCACAACGCCATCTTCAAATATAGCTGAAAACATGATCGTTAATAGTAAATATATTTTAAAATTATAGAAGACTTTGATCATAATACGTTTTTGACTGTCGGAGAAAAGGCTTTCTGTTAGTTCTGAAGCTGTTGCTTTCTGTTATTTCATGTGGAGCTTTGATTGAAAGTTATAATTTCCATTTTCTGTTTTATTCTTTCTCCTCTTCTTCTTCTTTTTTTTGTGCTCAAAAGGAACCTCCATGCGTTTCATCTCTACTTCTTCTTCTTCCGCCCTCCACTCTCTTCAACACCGTCACCTACTCCAGCTTCCGTTCCTCATTTCTCGTCAATGATTCTATATTTTCATGGAAGTACTTTAAATTCTTTCTCTCAGGGCTTCATGTAAACTCTCCATCTCTTTCTCTGTCTCATTTTTTTTGTCATAACATAAGCAGAAGCCTTATTAAGCCTGTTTTCGACTCATCATTTCAACGTCAAAAATACAGTTTGTCGGCTTCCTCCGCTCCCACCTTTTATGGTGAACCGGAAAAAGATTAAGCTGAAAGCTTTTTTTGAAACGCACAAAGCAGCCTGGTTCTCACTGATGATGTTCCTCACCAGCTTCATGTTCTCGTTCGCATCAAAGACAGCTGCTGGGATGCCATCGTGTAAAAAGATGTTTCTAAGATATTCGTGCGCATGCTCAGTCTTTTTCGTTCAAATTTCCTTCTCTCTCTCTCTCTCACTCTTCCTCCCTCTTAACTATGGAGCTTCTTCATATAATTTCAAAAGGAAAAAGCTATTATAACATTTGAACTTATTTTGCTCATCTTGTCATTCAATTGTCAAATCTTATTTTCAAACTGTTTTCCACGTAGTCGTCAATCATCACGTCGATGATGACGGCCGTCATCTGATGTCTTCAGAAGTTTCAGCTCTCTCTGCCTCGTTATTTCACGACCAATGATTTCTTATTTTCTTCTGATTGTTCTTTCTATTTCATTTTTATTTTTTCAATTTTTTATTATTTTCCCGTTCTCACTTACATTCGGACAATATTTATGTTTCAATTTGCTTCAACGAGATGCTTCCCCAGGCAACTACATCCAAGCATCTGTTTCAGTCTCTTTTTCAGACAAAAATCAAAGTTTTCTTTGTTCTCTTCCATTTTCGTTTCGTTTTTTGCTTTCAAAAAATATATGTTTTTATTCAAATTTCTAAACATTCCCCCGATTTTCTAATAGGTCAATGACTCCCTTCCTACCCCTTCCTATCCGACCCTCCCTCTCAGTCTTCCCTCCTCCTCTCTCTCTCTCTCTTTAGCTTTCCCTCTGTTCCATTTTCGATCTCCCACCCCCACTAACCCCTATCTCTTTCCCTCTTCATACTTTTCCTTTCACCCTCTATTTCGTCCTTTGATGTTTGTTTTTCCGAAAAGATGAGCCACACATGAACAAAAAAAATGAAATTCATCATTTCTGTTAATCTCTTAGTTCTTCTCTGTGAACTCATTTTTATTGTTCTGTTGTTTTTGTAATAAATTGAAGAAGAGTCTTGCAAAAGACTTTTCTTACTTTAACTTGACAATTTATAAAAGTTGCAAGTGGTTGGACGGAGGAAAAGGAAACGAGAGGAGGAGGAGATGCCGAGAGTACCCTTAGGCGGTGCATCCGATGAATGACAACCAGTCTATCTATGCTCAGTTTTTTTTCATTTTCTTTCTTTTTCTTTTTGTACAACTAATAGAGAGAGAGAGAAAGAAGAGGCACTAGTAAGAGGGAGACCTAGGGACAGAGAGAGAGAGAGAGAGAGAGAGAGAGAGAGAGATGAAGTGAGGTGAGCTGGAATGGGAATGGAAGGGGGTGGGTTAGTTTTCAGTTTGTTGAAGATTAACAACGAGAGAAGGTGGTAGAAAGGGAATGAGAGAGGAAGGGTTTGAGAGATATAGAGAGAGGGAGAGAGAGAAAACGGAATCTTATAAGGTTTTACATTGTAAAATCATAATTTTCGTTTGTTATTTGTTGTAAATTTGCATAACATAGAAGAGCCAAGCCCTTTTGGGCTTGCTCAATCGCCTCAAATCATTTTTTCTTTTTTCTTCAGTCATTATGTTTTGTTTATTTTCTATTTTTCTTTTTTTCTTTTTCTCCTCTCCTTTTCCTCTTTTTTTTTGTTTCGGCTTTGATCGGAGGAAATTTTTTTTTTCTTCGTTGAACTTCTCCCAAAATTCAAATCGGAGCGTGTATCAATCCAATTACCATTGAATGTTCTAACGAAAACGCTTTTTGTTTTATCTCTTTATGTCTTTTATTTCACGTACTTTTTGTATTTGTAAAACAATTTTGTTTTTTAATTGTCAGCTATGCGACCAAACTCAACTGGAGATTGGACAGACGTCAAGTGTGAATGGTTCGATACGGTCAAATCTCTTCAGGTATTTGTTACATTTCAATTCTTACAGCACATCTGATCTCTTTCTCTCTCTTTCTTTTTCTCATTCTCACTCTACACTCTCAGCTATTCATCTACCTGCTGATGTTGTTATTTCATTGTTATCCTTATACTATTCCATATTTTCCGCTTCCTTCTTGTTTCTCCATCACTTCCGTCTCCACCGTGTCCTAAATCTCTTTTTCCTTCTCTCGATCTGTCTTTGTTCCTTCTTGAACTTTGAAGGAAACAGTTTGCCTGAAAGTTCTTAGACGATGAGGGCGAATTTCTGATTTTGAAGCAAAGAAATGAATTAGACCTCAAGCCAGTTGTCTCCGTTTGGCAATACTTTTTTCGGGGGCAAGCAATAAATAAGTTCTTCAAACCTCATCTCACCCTCTCTATCTCTCTCTCTTTCTTCTCTTGTTGCAGCTTTTTTTCTCATTTTTTCTCGTTTCATTCGTGTTGCTCGTCTTGCGTTGCTGGATAGCCCCGGAAGGCTATAGTTTGGTTAAATTGATAATTAGCCTCTAACAAAGTAAATGAGGGTTAAGAAATAGAGGGAGTTGATGAAGGCACACAAAAACAAGAGTAGTAGGAGTAAGAAGAAAAAAACTTTTTCTTTTCACATGGCTGTCGTCTGTTAAGCTCAAGGTTTAGTATTGGCATAGCGCGTGCTTCGTCTGCTTCCGAATTCATCTTTTATCTTCCACTAATTAATTTTTCAATGCATGAACTTTGGGACGGAAGCAATATGAAAAATCATATGAGAGTTTTTGTCTAAGGGAAATATAATTAAAGTTTCCAAATAAGGAAGTTGTACGCAGATTCTGCAGATGGTCATCTCATTCTTCGGTCAGCTATCCTAGACAGCCCACATTATGAATGACTATAATTTGAGTTTAATGATCTCTAATTATGCTTGTATAAGGTAAATGATCAGCTACTAATCGACTGAACTTTGGTCAATCTGTCACAATTTTGACAAATAACTTTGGCTTGTTCAAGTCTCACATCTCATATATGAAGAAAGGAAGGCATTCAAGTCATTTTTCATTCAAATTGTCTAGAATAGCTAACTAGATAGATGATATGAAGAAGGTATGATGAGGATCTATAGGCTTCTTCATCCAATATCCATCATATCGTTTTATGATCATTCAAGTATTAAGCTCAGTCGTTTTGCTCTTCTAGATGAGAAGCTTTTAACATGCTTTTCCTTTTTAATTTTTTTTTGCTCCATCCTCTTCCCCTGACATGTTAATTTGTCAGCTTTGATCACTGATTTCTATGATTCCTGTTGATTTAGAGATCGAATAAGGCTTTTAAGCTAAGCAACTTTTGAAATGAATACCTTTGGTAGGGAGACAGTAGATGACGTGTAAGCAATGAGTGCATTGTGTCTTCATTATGAAGTCTGATGTGCTGTGTTAAAGAGCAGTTGCATTTTAAAGTTTTCATTCTCACGTCTATTCTTTAAATATTTTATTCTTTGTCAAGGTTTTAATTATCTTTTCAATTTCTTCACATACAATCATCATCAAAAAAAGAAGAAGAAGAAGAAGGAGAAGACGATGAAGCAGAATCGCTTCCGTCTCTGTTCCATTCAGAAGTTGTAAACGCGGAAGCTTTTACTTTTCTTCCTTCTCCATTTTGTCTTGTTCGTCTTCTCCAATTCGAGACGACAAGATAGGCCACAGTCCAAGAGCAATTCCTTTCTCCTCAAAATCGCCAACGCGTTTGCCTTTCTCTTTCCTTTCTTCTCATTTTTTTTTTGAAATATACTCGTAAAAGATTGTAATTACATTTACTTTTCTTCAGAACAATTACTATTGGGTGCGACAATTTGATGGCTCACCTATCGTTTTTCTTTACGGAATTGTTTGTACTTTCGGTGCTTTGGCTAACTTTTTCGTATTGTTCGCCTTCATTCGAACTGAAAAATTACGAAATTTAAGGAACAGGTTCGTTACACATTCACAAATATTTAAGCTTATTTAATCTAATCGTATTTTCAGTTTTATTGTGAATTTAGCTGCTTCCGATTTACTTTTATGTGTTGTAACAGCTCCCGTGACTTTGTATACGAGCGTTAACCTTTTCTGGCCATTCGGAAATATATCATGTAAAGTGGTTAGTATATCCTCTTTCTCTCTCTCTCTATTCCTCTCTCTCTCTCTCTCTCTCTCTCATCATCAACGTTTTTGAACTTTCATTTTGATTGCAGTTAGCTTCTGTACAAGCTGTGAATACTTTCGTTTCATCGCTCACACTGGCTTTAATTGCATTGGATCGAGTTCTATTAACAATCTGTCCTGTTCGATGGTAAACTGACTTCACTCCAAAGACTTTGTAAACATGTGTGTGTGTGTTATTCAGGCGTTTAGCTGCAACTGCACCTATTGTTTGTTATTGTATCGTATGGATTGTTTCCATATTAGTTGCATTACCATATTCATTAGCTGTAAAGGCGCAGCAGGTGACTCACTTTGAGCCTTGGAATGATGGCTCAACACCTGAAATGGTAAATTAATCATCTTTCTATGGATTCACTTATGAATTCTTGTTTAAGCTGGAAGCATGTGAAGAAACATTCCCTGAAATTTGCATAGAAATGCAAGATACTTGGGATAGAGCATATATTAGCAAAATGACATTCACGTTGGTTGTATTGGCCATTCAATATGTTCTGCCGCTTGTGGCATTAGCTTTTGCTTATGTACAAATTGGATCGACAATAAGAAGGAGATCAAAATTCTCCAGAACCATTGATAGTACACGACGAATGAACAATCAAAATAGAAACAGGTTAGATGAGGCTCATACAAATCTTGTCAATGTGTTCACTTCAGGAGGGCCTTGCTTCTGTTATTCCTTCTAGTTCTAACTTATGCAATTTGCTGGGCTCCAATGAATGTCTATAATGTTCTAAATGGCTTCGAAATCATTGACTATTCACAATATAGGTAATGGCACGTCGAAAGTTCACCACAAAGTGTGCATGTTTAGGTACCTTTTCTGCCATCTTGTAGGCATTTCGTCAGCTTGCGTTAACCCAATTACTTATGCATTGGTTAATGAAAGTTTTCGGAATGCCCTTCATCATATGTTAATATCATTTCGACCGTTTAATGCTGCCACCAGTGCCATAGCTGCTCATCCATTCACTAATTCTGTACAAACGAAAACGACAAAGAAAAATGTAATTTTGAAATTGTTTTAACCTTCAAGTTCTAACAAGTTGTGACTTCAGACCCGAACTCCATTCTCATGCCATGCAGAACAATCTATTACGGATGACGTTCAAACATTAGCAAATTCTAATTTATAAAATGGAAAAAATGCAATTTTTCTTCATCTACGGGTCTTCTTCTTTCGCTTTACCAAAAAATTTTTTTTTTCTAATTTGTATAGGCTTTCAGCTTATTATTTTTCTCCATAAACGTTATCAAAGATGCGTTAAGTTGTTATTCTGATCATTTGAATAAAAAAAAACTTTTTTTTTCATTTCCATTCCATCCATTTACGGATCTGTGTGTATGTGTGCAGTGTGTGTGTGTGAACATGAAATCAATTCTTCAACTCATTGCTTCATATTAAAAAAAAAAACAAAATTCAAAGCTATTTACAGGAAACGGCGAACATTGGATTCAAAAACTATTTGATTCATATATAAACTTTGAAAAACACCGGAAAAAGAAATGTTTTTCATTTAAGATTGAAATATTATTGAACTGATCTGTAAATGAGGGTTTTCGTTGCTTTTTATAATTATCTCAGATTGCAATTGAGGCTCACTTGCATACGAAACAACTCTGAAGGGCAACAATTCAATTATAGTATGAATTCTAAACTGTTCAGCTCCCTACTGTTGTTCAGCAAAAAAATATGATGGGAGAGCGAAAAATTATTTTTTGAATTCTGATAATACCAGACCATAAAGAGTTGCGTCCTACGCATGCCTCCCATAGCACGACTGCTCACTCAAGATGACAATGTTCAAAATGAAAAATTAACCTTAAAATTCATTTCTGAAAAATTTCAAGAATTTGTCGTCGTTCACGTGAACGACGACCGTTCATTCAGACGTGCAGATGAGGAATGAAATTAACAAGACTTTCATTCTTGTCTCACGAGTCATGTTGAGCGGTTGTGCTCATCAAAACCTCAAATAAGTATAGTTACATAACTTCTTAGAAAATGAATGGAGTTTGTTCGTTCCTTCGCTGTTTTGATCATAAAAATGCGCTCAATCTGATTAGAGCAGATTAATGATGTCATTACTCTTTTTTTCTGAAAATGAGAATTACTGTGGGTTTTCAATCGTTTGCTTTCTTGTTCTTTCAGATTTGTTCCGGGGGAAAAACAGTATGTAAACAAGTGACATGATAATAAGGTTTGCTGATGTGTAAAGAGTGACATCAGTTACACAAGGGATTCCCTTCTCATAAACCCCTCTTGATCGTATGTAACAGCCATGTCTACCTTCCCCTACCCACCTTTGTGCAGCAGCAGAAATAGAATGATGTCATTTACAGTGAGATAATAAGTAAACTCAGGATAGAGAAAACAAGTAGTAAATGAGGATGCTCATCGAGATGAGCCGAAAGAGATGATTGTCGTTTACAAAACTTCTTATCTCTTTTGCAAGAGATGAGATGTACTTAAAGTACTACAGAATATATATATAGATGCAACCGCATGAGTAATACTTCTCGTTTTAGTTCAGATAAAGTGAAATCTTGATAACAGTTTCCTGATCGAGAGAAACCTGAAAACCAATGCAAATAGTTTAAAATTGCATGAAAGAGGAAATGTGTGTCCCTCAGACAAGCCTTATATGAAGAATCATATCGAACTAGAATGAAATAAATTCAAAAGAAAGATGGAAGTTCATAAAACAGTTTTCATTCGAACAGAGATCCGTGTTCATATTGAAAACGAGCTGATATTTCAATTTCGAATGATAACTGTTCCGTCCACTAGAAACTGAATGGGACTGTTATGAGAGTAAGCGGTATGAGAATCTTTTTTTCTCCCCAATGGAAAAGCTTGTTTGTAACTTGTCTCCCAATGCGCTCATGAGCATTTGCAGCAGAAAACTTCTGCGAAAATGAGAAACATACTAGAAGTTTTTGAAAAGACACTCAAGAGAGAGAGGGAGTGAGAGAGACTTTGTCTAAACTCCTAGTAAATCTTTTTTAAAACGAGCAAAATCCACTCTCACAAACTTTTTCGATTTTGAGAAGAATGATTGAACACAAAATAAAAGAAGAAATCAATGGTTAAAAATCAGCAATAGTGAAGAACAAACAAAAGAAACAAACAAGTCGGTTCTTGTCAGAATGTCAGAAGAGGAGAAACGATCTATTCTTAGACATGGCAGTCACACATTCCAACTTTAAACCTTTTTGTTCCATAAACCCAAATTACTCTGACTGATGACGCGACGATTGAATGGCAAACTGTTATTTTTCGTTCTGAACGAGTTTTAGATCAGAGGATGTTTACGAAAAGTCAACACTGTCCTATCAAAAACAATAAAATCGAAAAAAAAGTTGATCATTGATCAGCTATTTCGTGATGATGACATCAATAAATCGAAATCCCCCATTCTCTTATTCTCAGGATTGCGGAAGCAAGAAGACAATCGGAGCAATCGGTAACATGAACCTTGTTTATCCTTGCTCAATTGTTATACAACGTTTATATAACCAATATATTGTAATCAAAATTCCCGCGTTTTCAAGAGGAATTCGAAAATGAGAACACTAGATGTTAGAATGAGATGGTGCTTGGTTCTACTAGATTCTCAATGATACCATTGTCCATAGCATAAATCGTTCCATGTGTTTAGTGAAAGCAGCTTCTCAACCACTTCCCAGATGATCGATAAATGATTAACACATAAACTTAACAGGTGATTATTTCCCGCTCTTTCGAGGGGAATCCAAAAAATGAGAACACTCATATGCGTCCCTATGCACGGAAATCTTTAGTAAAAGGCGAAAGATTTTCTCGGAGTACTGCAAAGGAACCAGAGAATATAACTTATCCTATCAACTTTCTTACCGATTATCGTCTGTAACGTACATCATCTGGGTTTAAGCGCATTTAAGGTTGCCAGGCTCATAAACGGCGTTTAAAATTTCGACAAGTTGTGAACAAGTGATTGAAATCTAGAGTTCCCGCTCTTTGTTCCCGCTCGAATCATATAATATGAAATATTTGTGTGCGTCCCTAAACATCGAAATGGAAGAAATTCACAAATTACTGCCAAAGAATCAGAGTTATTTCATTTCTAGAATGATTGGAAACATGACAATCATTCGAACCGATCAACATCTGTGTTCAATGTGTTAAGCCAAGGTCTTACTCCTTAAATGAGTATTCTCTTCAAATGAGATACAGTTTGATGTTTGATTTCTTATTTCCCGCTCTTTCGAGGGGAATCCAAAAATTGAGAACACTCATATGCGTCCCTAGGCACGGAAATCTTTAGTAAAAGGCGAAAGATTTTCTCGGAGTACTGCCAAGGAACCAGAGAATATATCTAAACAGGAACCGATTGATGATCGTCAATTGCCTGTAGCGTACATCGTTTGCGTCCTATGAGCTGATCATTGCGATCAATGTTGAGATGATACATTTATATGATCATTTCGCCCAATCATCAGATCGATTACTTATTTCCCGCTCTTTCGAGGGGAATCCAAAAAATGAGAACACTCATATGCGTCCCTAGGCACGGAAATCTTTAGTAAAAGGCGAAAGATTTTCTCGGAGTACTGCCAAGGAACCAGAGAATATACTGAATGGCAGTACTGTTAGACAATACATGAGGCTAGCTCCGTACTCCATATGAGTGTTAAGATGCATACTTGTCTAAGAATACCTTAGCTGGTACCGTGTTTCTTTGGTTTTGCAATGTAAAAGTAAATGAACAACTACAAAATATTATTCAGTTTTATTTATGTACATTTATCCTGATGGTTAAATGAATTAGTAATGCTGTAGTTTTGTACAAGTTAGTTCGAAAACGACGGTGAACCCGAAATTTCCGTCTAACGTAACCAGTCAGGAGAAAATAAAAATTCTGTATATAGAACGAAACAGCGAGAAAAAAAACAATAAAACAAAATATAAATTGTCTCAAAGAGGAACCGACTTAGCAGAATCGTATATGGGAATCGGGAGAGAAGGCATGTACTGGTTTAAGAGGAAGAAGCCTTTAAATTATATTTATATAGAAAATATACAGCTTATATACATTTCCTCGTCTCATTCATGAGAGAATAGAGAAAGATTTGTGGGACAAGTAGGAGAAACGCTTATTAGAAGGGCAGAAGTCGACTAGCGTTCATCTGCTGTCTTCCTCGTGTGACAGAGGTACCTACTCAACAACGATGCGGCTCCTAGCAAATTAGAAAACGAAAACGGTGCTGTACAAATGGATCACACTCCGGAGTGAAAAAACAAATTCGGGAACGGATGGTTAAAAGAGAAAACATTTCAAAAACTTTCCTGTCGGTTGAATTAAACCCGAAAGAAGGCCAGACTTGGGTAGAATACAAGATAAAAACTCGTGATAAACAATCATAGCAGAACTAGAGAAAGTTTTAAAGTTGACAATGGATAAGAGGGAGAGAAAAAGAGAAAGAGAGAGGCTTGAAGGAAAGAGATAGAGAGCGGAAAATAATTGCAGAATTTTGGAGACGTTCGCTAAATCAGATGAGATGTACAAAGCGTCGAAGAGACAAGTCTCTCTCTGTCTCTTTCTCTCGGAGTCTCACTATAATGAGAAGAGAGAAAGGAGAGAATCACGTCTTCTATAGTTATTACACATCCAAATAGATGCTAATATACCTTTTTGATGAAGAAAGATGCATAAACTATATACAGAGGAAATTGATAGGGATTATGATCGCCAGATCAAGTTCTATGTACAAAAAGAATGATTGGAGAGAAGATGGGCTTTGTACAGGCTCAATAGTCCATCTGCTGATGTTGCATGCAGTTAGGGACATCAGGCGAAAAGCCAGCTTGATCCCATTGGATATCTGGGCTCATCTGACTGCTGCCAAGGTGTGGGGATGGATGGGCTCCGGCTTGAGAAATGAGTGGGTCACCACCAGAAAAAAGTGGATTATTCTTAAAAGAAATCGTGATTATATGATGTCTGCGGGTGTAATGTACTAACTGGATGAGGAGTTATGTCATCCATGATCAAATCCTGGAACTGTTGCCAATTGTTCGATGCTAAAAAGAGAAAATTAACGAACATATAGAAACTTATGATGTGTTAATGTTAGTTGTTAGGAAAAATAAGAGTTATAACCGAACCGTATTCAGAAGGGCTGCTGTTGTTGAAAAAATTGTCGGGTTGGGATTTGGAAGGCATTGGTCCTCCACGACAGGCTGGGCTTGCAATTTGCATTGCGGCAGTTCCATCGGAAAGTTGAGCCAAAAAGCCAGACGATGACTAAAAGCACACAAAATGGTGGTGGTCACATATATAAAAGACATGAAAGGGAAATATTAGGCAGACTATGTTACCGACAAAACGTCGGCCACAAGCATAGGTTTAAACAAAGGAACAAATTATATTATTTACCCTTCTCAAAATAAGGCCCCAATAAGAAAGAAATTAAGACTCACCAGTGATCCGCATGGTGTTTGGTTGGGTGAGCTATCTTCAGGTTCTTGTTTAATTGGTCTTTCGGCTAACTTGGGAAGTGGGGGAAGTTGCCCTGGAGGCACTTGGATCCCCTGTCGAGACAAAACTTCTTCGAGTTCCTGGAAGAAACGATTAGTAAAACGTAGTTTCAGTTTATCAACTTACTCTAACGCGATCAGCATATTGCTTAGCCATGTTTTCTACGGAAATAGTGTGTTGTTGGAATTTAGCGAGATTTTCTCGTTCTCGTTGAAGTTGACGGATGTAATCGCAAGAAGCTTTAAGAATAGTTCCCTTATTCAACTTCATATCCCTGGAAACAGAACTTGAAAGAGGAGGTAAGATCTCGAAATTTTCAAAGAAGGTAAAGCTGAAACATACTCGGAGCTTCCTTTAGGTAGCATGTGTCCCAATTCTTTGATACGGTCATTGATATTATATCGTCGGCGTCTCTCAACTGAAAGATGAAGGATGCAAAAACGGTTTCATAATTCCAGACATACTCATATTGTGGATATCCTTCTTCCGACGATCACGGTAATAATCGCTATCACTATCCTGAGCTGCAAGCATCATCTGATCCATATCCATAGAAGATGTTGGAGCTGAACTGCTAACTACTTGACGGAAAGCTGCGGAACCCCCGATGGCTATTGGACTACCGGAATGACCTGAGCCTCCTGGAATAGGTAAAAACTTATTGTCATCGTTAAAGCTATTGAATGATTTTTTGTGTGCGCGTTCCCTTGCAATCGGCAAAACTGATGATTTTCATAAATTTATGAAGTTGGTGATAAGGAAGATCGAAAACTTCAGGGAGTGGTTTGTTTAAATGACGATTAGGATGACAAGCTTGTAGCTGATACGAAACATCAAAACAAATCAATAAGAGTTGAGGAAGTTTTTGAAAACATTTGTTACTTTTCAGGGTGTCGAAGTATTGAGAAGATGTTCAAGATATACCTGATTGAGCTCCAGGAATTGGTCTAGCATTGGAACCTCCGAGTTGAGTTAAATTATCGGCACATGAGTAACTGACAGAGATCTGAAAAACGTCTAATAAGGAATTGAACCCAATTTTCTGACTAGTTTTGTTAATTTTCACAACACAGCACACTGTTGGCTGACTTTCAGGATATATCATTGGATGAATGCCAAATAAGGGAATTTTAAGAATGATGAGCAATTTAACAAAGTCCCTTTTAATTTTAATTTTCATTGTTTTCCTCACAGCAACCGATATCCTCATCTACCAGCTGCTGTCCGTTCTTAAATCGACGACAGGCTGGTGGACGATGAAGACAGCCGGGCCTGGTTATAGGCGCCCATCGCTCTTCTGCCCTTTGCAGTTGTCATTTTGTTTCATTTCACATTGGAAACGAGTAGTTTCTAAGCCTCAAAGTCTACTGTAGGTGTGAGTGACTGAGCGGATAAAAAACGAGGATAAAATGTTTGGGAAATAGAGATAAAGAGAGAAAGATAGAGGAAGAAGGGAAAAGGTTGCATATGACGATAAGCAGGGTCGATCTTGCCGGCTGTGATGAATGCTAGATAGCCGGATAAACTAAAAAAAATTTAAAACAACAAGATCTGCTCATTGATCGCCATTTTTTGCTGATTTAAACCCCTGTTATTCAGTAGAAAAACTTATCGCTCTTCTTATTTTAAGATACTAACAGATGCTCATAAAAAGCAGCAAAGAGAGTTAGACACCTCATAAGATGATAAGATTGTCGTTTCACAAAGAGATAACGGAGACAACAGATGCATTCAGAAAAAAAGCGAACAAAGATCCCTTCATAACTAAAGCCCGATTGAGAACCGATGCCGATTGATATTAAGTAAACAACTTAGAAAGAATGGAAGGATTTCATTGTTCCTTACTCTGATTTGTTTCGTGTTCCTTCTCTTTACCATCACAATGTCTCAAACCTCATATATTCCCAGAGAAGAATAGCATCCTACAGACTGCTCTAACCAAAACAAATTCTCTCTCCCCCATCACTTTTTATGGACAGTTTTACCGTCGTCAACACTCATTTCCGGAATATTTTTGGTTGAAAGTCTTCTGATGACAACCCCCCGTCAGTCAACTCCCATCCAACTCCCCTTTTGCGATCGCTTGCCGGCATACGAAGGCTCGGACAAGGACAAATTCCGGAACAAATTTAGTTACAGAAAATATGGAGAGAAGGCAGGAACAGAGAACAAAGAGAAACATAACAGCATGTTCTCCATACATGTCCTGTTAATTAGAGGTATTGGACAACCAAATGAGGTAGTAAATCTTATTGGATTGATGACAACTAGAGCATGCAGAGGAATCTTTACAAACTTTCAAAATGGAAAGTAATAAAGTTGACAATACACGACAATTAACTGTCCATTGTAAACAGTTTGTCATCCGATTTTTGGGATAACGCTGAGTCAATTCTGTCGTTCGCTTAATCTTCTTCCCAACTTATAATGAAGTTCGAATGAACTCCTCTGCAACCGGCAATGAAGACCACGGCAATGTGAATGATAATTAGAGAAAAATGTACGAAAAACGATCTTTTCATGAGAATTCATGAAAGACGTGGGAATTGGTCGACGACTTCTTTTTCTCAAAGATCATTCAACGGAAAGAAAAAGCGGACAAGAGTTTAATAGACCTCAATTGTACTTTTTTTAACCTCTTAAGGAAGTGACTCTCCCTCCAAAAATTTACTGTAAACCATTGACCAAGGCTTCAAAAACCAGCATGTAATGATCAAAGTTTTTTTTCCGGGCGGAGAGAGAGACTGAGCGAGGAAAGAGGGCAGAATAGTAGAGTCGATGTTCTCTTTACATAGTAAAGAGAAAGCTAGAAGGAAACTGATGAAAACACGATGCGAGGCGGCTTTTGCCGTCTCAAATTCATGAAAAAGCGAACTATTGATTAATTCCATTATGTTTCTAGTTGGACACACTAACAACCTCGTTTTGAGAACATGAACAAAGTCAATGACTAGAGTCAGAAGACACATATGGAAAGAACCAAGAATGAGATTCCTCTGCTACTCTGCTACCCTGCCAATGGCGCTTGTGCCGAGCCTGATGAAGAGCAAGAAAAAGGAGAGAAAGCAATTTTGTGATAAACGTAATCCAATAGCAGCAAATATGCCAAATATGGAAAGTTTTCAATTGACGCCAAGTGGGATATATTTAGCAGAGTAGCTACGGAAGCAAACAAACGATCTGCAAGTTGCATTTTTTGGTAGCATTGTATGCAAATCACCAAACAAGTTCAAAGAGAGATAGGGAGGGAGAGAAAGATATGTATCGTTAAAAAAAGAGTCATAGAAAGACAGAGCATGCAAAGGAAGCCTAATAACTCACAGGCTGCGTCTTGCCACTCGTGCGACGCTGCTCGTCTTCAAGCGAAAGAATTTCATCTATTATTAGATCATCAAGCATCTGAAATATTAATCAGGTTACTAGTTCTCCCGATCTTGAAGGCAAAAAGTTCGTTAAAAAATTGCGGCATCATCACACACACACATATATACATACATACATATATATATGGTATAAATAAAGAAATATCGACAACTTGAATAAGCTTGACAGCGTTTGCGGAGAGAATGGGAGAGCGGAAGAGTTAGAGAAACGAAGTCTTCAGTGATGCAGAGGAGAGAGTTAGTGCTCAGAGCAATCCGTAAGCAGAAATGTTTCAAGGAAAGATAAGAGAGTGTAGGAATGGATACATTCCCTCATTCTGAGCATTAATTCTACACCAAACATGAACATAGAAATGAAAAGCAACGTATAGCAATTAGTCAATGTGGACTGAGTTCTTTTGGATGAGCTGATGATGAGTTTGGGAAAATCAGAGACTGTTGACCTCCATCTTTTACGATTACAATTATCAAAGAGAGTGAGAGAGGATAGGAGGAATGGCAGAAAATGAAACAAGAGGAGAAGGAGGAGGCAAAGAGGAGATAGAAAAAGAATGAAACGCTCGTAAACAACTTATACTTGGTCTTCGATCAATTTTTCCCGCATTCGCCTATTTCCCTTCAATAAGGCCTGTGTGTATGCATGTGTGGGTGAGTAGAAGCCGTTAAAGGACACAGAAGAAGAAAAGAGCAAAACTTTCGAATACCCAGATGACACTGTACAGTCAGATTTCATTAAAGTTTGAAGAATGAAACCGTCAGAGGGGAGCACTATGATTAACAAAAGACCGTTGAACAATGCGAATTTTTCCCAAACAATAAATTGGTCTGCCCACAATTGCTTTCTACGAGTTTGAAGAAATAGAAACTTAGGAAGCCAAAAAAGCTGTGCTGACGATGATGAAGATGGTGGTGATGATGATTGAATGAGTAGGAGAAAAATAATGGAAGTTTACTGTCGGGTACTTTCTTAACGAATTTCAAGCCTTCTTCTCTACAGCATTAACCCTCTCTTGATATTCGTGTAAGTAGTTCCACCCGAACAGCATGCCAAGGACATGTGATCGTTGGTCAAAACGACAGCTGAAGAAGGCAGAAACATCAAACTAAAAATTACTTGATCAGGAGCAAGAGATATTTGAGACTATCAGAAGAGTAGAGACATGCTTTGACTAATCACTCAGAGCATTGGTTGAGAGAAAGCAAAACAAAGTCGTTAAATGTACCATTGGTTTCATTGTCATGGCAACTCAACATGCAACTGCTATGTGTCAACACGAGTGAGTAGCTATTCGAAACTAGTCTCCCTTCTCTCTCTCTCTTCGTCTTTCATAATTGTTAGAATCTTTGGATGGCCGATGACGACTGATGGGACCCAACCAAAACGGAAAAGAACGAAAAGAGCACTCTATCTACTGAGAGGAGTAGAGAGAGATAGGGGAGAGAATAACTGGCAGGAGAAAGATATTATCGCTTCGTCACTTCTTTTTCTTCGCTTGCCTCTGGAAATCTCTTTCGCTCTTTCTCTCTCAACATCTCTACCTCTCTTTCTCTCTCAATATGTTTCTATTTCTAGAATAGTTAGATGGTACAACTAGAGTTGTAGTCTTTGTCTCTTTGAACATTTCAATTTTCTTAAACTACAAAATTACTCAGTATTTCCCACGTTTTTCAATCACTAAAGAGTAAGTTCACTAGCATTAGAGAACACATCCCGCATATGTTCAGCCTGTTTCAATCAATAGTTGTTTTAATAAGCCAATTATGGAAATCCTGGCATCAATGGTGCAGGATTTAAGGGATTAAGTTGGTCAAAACAAATATTGATGAATTGGAGGGAGAAAGGGAAAATTAAGATTTAATTGGAAGCAGGTATGGATGGAAACTCAAACACTTCGTAGTTATAATAATCTATTATGCCCGGATTGGAAGAACATTGGCTAGATCTGGTTAAAGATTATACAAGGGAATAGAAAGAGATTAAGAAGAAAAAGAAGAGATGAAGAGAGAAAGAGAGAGAAAGATCGTTCCCTATTTCTTGCGCTCTCTAGTGCATCGTCTCCCGGCGGGAAGCCAGAAGAAGAAGTATGTATGGAAGAATCGTTGGACTATTCCACGCAATAATTAAAAAGAAAAGAAAAAAAATATCCCAAATAAGGAAGAAAGATCATAGGCAAACCTCTTGGTTATAAGAGCCACTTCGTGGAGAATCACCAAATCGTAAGTCGGGGCTATCCATAGACGGTGATTGTCGTTGGTTCTGAAAAGAGCAAATGAACTTCTCTATTACTTCCTGTCCGAGTTTCACTATCGTTTTCACTCTTTTCTTTCATTTCCCCTCGTAAGCAAAATTTTTTTTAGCAAGAAACCAAGCAGGACACAGTCAATGAGCAAAGGACATCAGTCATTTTCAGCTCAAAAATAAGCTTGAGTCCTGAGTATTTTGAAGTCTGTTCAGCTCTTCGAATACTTTATCTTCTCATGTTTCCTCGATTTTTTTTCATCATTGTTGAGCTCACGTAAATGTGGGCTCTGTTATTGTCAAGCACAGCTGTGCACTTTCACTTGGACATCATTCTTTCTATTCTCTCTATTTCTAGTAAAGCCCGTATTCTACAAAAAAGCCTCTGCCCTCATTACCTGAACCACTACAACTGTTCGTTTCGGTGTCGTTTTGCGCACGACCAGCGTTTTAGACATCGGAGGAGACGGAGTTTTCACAACACGACGACTGACTTTTCGCTCTTCAGTCGGTGAATACCGTGCAGAAGGAGCTGATATAAGACGTCGACGAGTTGGAAGTATTCTGCGGGCAGGTGTTTCCCGCGCCACTACATCAACGGTCATCGTCGTTGTTGTGTAGTAAACCCGTATTTGGAAGAAATATTTACAAGCACCGAATAGAGCAACTGCTATAAGAGAAGAGTAATTCTTGGACAAAGAAAAGAGAACACGAGTAACGACAATATAGAAGATATGAAAATTGTAAAAAAGGAGCTGTGGCCATTAGGAAAAATTGGAAGAAAGTCAAACAGGCCCTCTTCCATCTCCTCCTCATCCACAAATGTTTTGTGATGATCGTCGTTATGGCGTGAAATGATGATTGGGAACCGGTAGAGGAATAGTGAAGAAACTAGTGGAGTGTAACCATCAAGTAAGAGACGATGATACTAGTAAGGCGTTCAGTCAGTCATCATAAGTAATAGGATCAGGTATGAGAAGGACGACGTTGACAGCGATAGCGACATCATCCCTTCCCAGCTCTGTTGAAATTTAAGAAAAATATTGAGTGAAACTGCTGAATAAGCAAGGCCGACAGCACGAAAAAACAAAAACTGCCTTGAGTCTACGCGAGCTCTTTTATAAATCAATAACCTATGAAGAAGTGCGGAGAGAAAAGTCAATAAGGGCAATATTTCACAACAAAACAAACCAGGAAAAGCCTTCGTCTATTTTTTTGTGGAAAAAGCAAAAACATGGGCGGGGGGGGGGGGGATGGAAAACATTCGCAAAACATATTTTGAGCGAGATGTGCAAGGACCGAGTTCATCAGAGGTGCATTAGATATGTGCTTATTTAAGAGCTCTTGAAAACATTCAGAAGAATTATATAAGAAAGAAAGCCGTTGGTTTTCTTTTTGCTCTAAGTCTGAGCTTTTCCGATTTCTGTCAGGCTGTATGAGGTTGAGCACCAGTGCTCTTCGCACAAACATACATCTTCTATAACATCTACGAGAGATTGATAGAAAGAATGATGCGATCGAGATAGACAGAATGACAGTGCAAATATATATAGTAAAGAAGAACAAAACAGATATAGATAGGGGAGGCGAGAAAGTCTCAGAAATAGGAACAAAAAGCTCAGTCAAGTAAGATTATTGTGTTTCTACATGCTCGCATGTACTTCTTTCCAGCTTTACAGAAAGAAAAATAGTAAGAGAGAGAAAGAGTAAGAGAGAAGGAGAGTAAGAGAGAAGGAGAGGAAGAAGGAAGGGGAGGTGAAAAGTGCGCTTGTAAAAGTGGTCAGCAACAATTTGCCAAACGAGATTCTACGTTGTGCCTTTTACGATGAGTACAGAACCGGCGGTAGTGCTGGCAATAGAGGAAATTCATGTTCACTATATGTTATATGGATGAAGAGGTTAGGAGTAGCGCTGACGGAGAAAAACCGCAAGGAAAAAAGATGAGAGAGAGCAGCATTGATTAGACAGCGAGTAATGTAAGAAAACAAAAAGCTTTAATGCTGCTGAGGAGCTTGAGAGAAGGACTGAGGAGGACAGCCAAAGTAAATGAAGCAAAACAGCTCATTCAGCACAATGACAATGTGGGACCGAGAAATTAGAAATTCATTGCCCTCCTCTCTCTCTCTCCACAACAAGGCGCTTGTCTTTGGAAATCCGTTTTGTGAAATCATAACAAAAACGCCCAAGAAACACGTCTCTATGCCTCTAGAAGCTATAAAGAGAGAAATGGTAGAACATAAAACGACCATGAAAGGGAAAGCAACGTCACAACACTGTGTATGTGTGTGTCAACGATATTACTACTACCACTACCACTGGCTGCATACACCATATTTGGGTCTAGACAGTTCACCAGTTTGAGGATGTTTCTCTGCTATAATGTGTATTTTGGCCAGAAATGAACTAGTTCTAAGAATAGCCCAGGTGAATTATCCAACTGCACTCACTGAACACGCATAAATTACTAAAAGAGGAAAATACGAATGAAAGTTGTGAAGAGCTCCAGACATGTTGTCTGTGAGTGCGAATGGAGGACACACGACATGGCCCCGCCTGCGATCAGCCATACCCACATCTCATCTCTTGCCCAGCTTGCTTGTCTATTCACGCACAAGAAGAATAATGAAAAAGAGAGAGAAAATATTGAGAGAGGCAATCAGATGAAAAAAAGGAAGAAATAGAGAGAATAACAGAGTTTACTCTCTTTCTCTCTCTCTGTAGCCAACAGCTGATTGCGACCAACCCGACCTAAACATCAATGAAGAAAAGGAGAGGGGGGGGGGGGCAACAAATTAAGCCAGAACGTTCAATAATGAACAGACAGAAAGAGAGAAGTAGAGAACTATCTCATCGACAAACACAATCATCAGGCGATGATTTTGAACGGAAAGACGAAGAAGTGTGTTGTACAGCAACAAGTTGGATCAATGAAATTATAGAAAAAAATATTTGAATTGCTTAAAAGGATACTGTAAAAACTTCTACAAATTAGCGGGCAGCTTATGAAAGATTCGGATATATACATACACATCGTCTTTTATTATAACGATCTTTTGTTGAAATTGGATATTTATACTCAACAGTTTACAAAGAGACACAACATGTTTCAGCATCGAAAACAGACCATAATCGATGAGGAGATACAGACGACTATTGTGTTTAGAGAGAGAAAAAGAATTCATAAAGAGAAAAAGAAAATGGAAGAGAGTATTAGAAGACAAATGAAGGTGTGAGGAAGAGATGGGGGGATGGAGGGAGGAAGGGAGTCCAACAGTCTCCGAGGACTATAAGAGACGTAGAGTGCGAGGGATGCGACCAAGCGTAAACTTATTGCATTTCCATAATAACACTCTTTCTCATCATCTAATTTTCAATAATAATAACAGAAACCTTAACGACATACTAAAACCCAGATTTATACCGTGTAAGGAAGAGAGAGAGGAAGGGATAGAGAGAGATAGGGATATAAGGATAGATAAAGAGAAATCGAAAAAAAAAGAAAACATTTCGCTTCTGAAGCTGGCGACGTTTTGACGCAAAATATGTGCTGTTTGGCTGTCATACATGAAATTTCTGGGCGGATTTCAAATAACGTTGAGAAAGCGAATAATATTATATGGAATGAAGAGTTTCTGAGCAAGAAAAACAAGGAAGGCGGCTTGAAAACGAAAAAATAGGAGAGAGAACAGCGATTCTATCGAATTGATGGAGCGCATTCTGGTAAGGCTATATTGTATAAACAAGCTGGCAATCACCGTGAGAATGGTCTTTTCAAAATCAAACAAGCAAACGATGGACAGACAACATGTGTGGACCCGATTAGGACATATAAAGAACTGGCCGGGAGACGCATAATTCAATCCTCTGATGGAAACTAGTGGGATGCTTCTTGAAACGACTTTGGGTGTTCAATCCAAGTCTTTCTGTCAGTCTGTTGATGGCTAAACTCAGATATGCGAAAGTATTAACGAGCTATAAACGATCGTTCTCCTTATTAGAACAACGAGCAGACGATCATCGGCTACTACTGGGCAATAGACGAATGAACAAATACCTGGGAGGAAATGGAGGGGTAGAAGAGAGACTGTCATCAGGCTTTAGCAACGAAAACAAATAAAAACAGCTGGATGGGTATGGTAAAGGGGCGGAATCAAAAGAAATCTTCTTCTACACATGCACACAAACATCACTATGACTGAATTCGCCAAAAAAAAGAGAAACACGCCAGGGCTTGGAGCAGCAGAATCGATGGGACGGACGAACGGACGAGAACGCCACAAGCAGTAACAGCGGAGAACTCGAAAACAGCCTGGCGGCGGCCCAACCCACAAACAGTTCTGGTAAAGTTTGAAAGGTTTTTTGGCGGATGAAAGGAAAGGGGGAGGCAAAGGAGATTTTGAGGATACAAAGGAATTGGCGTAATTGTAGGCAAGAGCCAAAGCAAGAATGTAGTGAATGTAATAAAGAAAGACCAGTTCAAGTAGATTGCAATATGACTCTGTTGGGGACGGATTCAATGAAAAAGGACTAGAGCAGTCAGTCAGCCAGCCGCAGAGAAAGCAAAGTGTTTATAGCAAACAAGAGCCAACAAACGCATAAACAACAAACAAGTGTCGGTGATTTGTTAGAGACGTAGGCAGATAGGATGAATTAAGTGGCTTTTTTTAAATGACATAAGATAGGGGAAGCGATGTGAGAGCGCGCGTGCGCTTGTCAATTTTGTTTTCGGACAACCCCTACCACCAATACCCCATCAGAGTCAAAAATGCCTTTTCTGGAGGGAACAGACGAACGTGAAATGACAAATGTATCCATTTGGTAATCATTTCGTTTTTGATAAACATGTCAAGATAGGCAAAAACGACATGTATTAAAAGAAAAACGAGGAAAAAGCTTAAAGATAATAACGGCGTCAATTCTTGTATCAATCCATCTATCTATCCATCTCTCTCTCTCTCGCATTCTCTTCGCATTCATTTTTCTCTATTTTCCTTTATGTTTTTAGGGTCTTCGACTCAAATGACCAACAACAACGAGGAAAAGAAGACATTCAGCACAGTTATGACGATCGTCGGATATACCATATGGACTCAACAAACAATATGAACATGATCAAACAGACTCCCCACAATGATGCTTTCCTACCACTAAATTTTGGCCAAATGGTCAATTCTTTGGACCAACTATGAAAAACACACGAAAATCGTCTTCATCTGGTGAACATTGTACTCTACAACGTCGTGTTGAACACATTCCGAGGAATCTGAGAGTGAATGGGATCTAGACAAAGGTGCCGTCTGCACATCATTCCAAACTAATTACGGAAAGAAAAAGGGAAAGACGTGAAGTGTAACATTGCTCAGAAAGAGACTGTCTTTCACTTGCTGTTGACCAATTATGGACTGTCTACAGCATAATTAAAGTTGAGATCCCAAGAGAAAACAAAGCACTTTCACGGACAAATGGATATATGGTCCGTGTGCGGAATATTTAAACCACAAAAGACTATTAATTGTTGCAAAAGACAGAGAGAGAGGAAATGGAGGTTTCGTCCCCTAGTGCGAAGTTTTTGATAAAATCCAAGGGATCAGTCGGACAACTAAAAGCTTTTCGTCTCGCAACGCCGCTTTTGATTAATTGCCAAGACAAAGTTCACTTCTTTGTGACGATTTACTATGGAAACATCGGAGAAAACAATCATTCAATTTCATCTTTTTGTCTTTTAAACTCACGAGACTATGATAAAGCTGAACATATAAGTTTCGGGACCCACATTTATGCTGTTCGGACAGCTGTTTTCATCTTCTCCCCTTCATATTTCCCCTCTCTCTTAGCTTATGCTTGTTCTTTCTGATTCATTTCGCTTCGAAGAAAAAAACTTTTCTTTCCTTCCCACTTATCATTTATTCATTTTCTTTTCACGTAGAAACCAGAAAATAATATGAAATGACAATCGCGCGAACATTTTGTTGGATCTCCACTCAGATGAGTTGATAAACGGCAATATTATCTACGCCAAATCAAATAGGTTATCTCAAAAAAAAAGAAAAAAGATTTCTTATCGTGCTTCTGCTAATAACCGTTTGAATTCCTTCTTCATTGCGTTTGCTTGGGAGAAGAAGAAGAAGAAGAAATAAAATGTAATCAGTCTTTGTCTTTCTTTATAAAAGAGCGAAGAGGAAAGTAAAGAAGAGACTGAAATCGATAAGAAGAGCGTTTCAGTTTTTCTCACAATTCTTCATAAAGTTCTTATGGATCTTCTGGCAAGGAGCCAGGTAAACAAGTTTCATTTTATCGCTAACCCATCAGCTGACAATTGGACCCTGTTGGAGGATGGTTGGTCGGAAGAAAGATTGCTTCTACTGACACTTCCTCTCGACGCTTTTCTAGCTCTCACAAAGAAAAGAATAAGCTTGAAGAGAAAATAGAAGAGCATTAAACGTCTACGGAACAAGAGAATATGTTCCACTCATACAGTCAATGTTTGCTGAAAGTAAGAGCTAACCGCGTTTTTTTTAAATCGAAAAGTCAATCTCAAATTACAAATGTAAAATGCGAGTTTTTCGCCACAATTTCTCAGTTGGGCTCGATAATAATGCAATCGAGGGTATAATTTATGATTTCACACTCTCACTCCTCACACTATTTCATTTGCTCACACATCCCCAAATCTGAAAATGAAAAGAAACATGACTTACTTGGAAAGGATGTTGCATTTTTCGAGGAGATGACATGGAAGCGAAACCACTTTGGGAGGGAGCACTCCCGAATTGCAGATTTTGCGAGAGCCGTTGAGACTGAGGTATTAAAGTTCCTGTCTCTCTCCTTTCCATCTGTAATTACCAACTTTATTTCTCATTTAATGCATATTTAATTCAAGTCCTATTATAAATTCGTTTTTGCGATGACTGATTCTCCCCCGATAGAAAAATTTTCGTTTCGTTCAGATTATTAAATGATCAGAAGGTAGAATGCGGCGGTGAATTGACAAAGATTTCAGGAAAACGAGAGAATCCGAGAGAGGCTTCTTCGAGCATACGAGTAAAGCCAAAGCAAATATCAAGTCTAATGTCTTACGCCAGCGAGATTATGAGTCGCGTTCTCATGAAGATCGTTAAAAAACTTGTAAAAATATCAACTCATTTCGTCCACTTCACTTCTTTTTTTTGCTGCTCACTTCTCAACAATTAAAGTCTCTTAAGATTTGAGCGATTTGCCTCTATGGAAGGGATGATCTTCAGTTCACCACTCATACAAGCTTTTAGGTGAACCAAAAACCGTGAAAAGGGGAAGAAATGTAAATAAACAAAAAATATCGAGGACATATCAGTTGATACATGCAGCTCGTCAATTTCGGTCCCACCGAAATCGAATGTGTATACTTTTTTTTGCCCTCTGATCGCTTTCGTTCCACGCTTCTGAATGAGGAATTGAGGCTGAAGTAGCAGCAGAAATTCGAGGCACACTGAGCGTCCATCAATAAACGACGAATGTACTTTTTTTACCCTTTCACAGACATTTGTGCTACTTCTAATGCTATTTCGACGTGAGATTAGGGTTGAAGAGGGCCTTTATCACAACTGTGATTGACCTGAGACAACCCCTGATAGCAATCCTAATCGTCAGGCGGTCTCGACAAAATGAATAAGAAAATCATCGAAACTGCGGTGACGGTGACGGCCAAAGAGACAAATTTCATGTATTTCCAAATAAGCAATGATTATAATGTAAAATCAGAAAACGGCAGGCGAAAGAGCGCGACATAATCGATTAACAAACTGTTGGCAAAAAGAGCCCCTGGTTCCGTGAATAATTCAGAGGTTCTCTCATGAAAATCAATGCTTCAAGCTGTTAAGCAAAGATAAGAAGCATGGAAAGCTTTTAAAGCTATGTGTGAATTAGGCTCGCACAAGGATGGCCACAGTAGACTGAAAAACAGACCGCATTATATGTGCTCCGGAATTTGGCTGCATTTGATTCATACGGTTCATCATCATAATACTGTGAACTAAGCGGTGAAGTAGCCAATCCACGAATCATATCAAACAGATGCTGAGTCAGATAGGTTAAAACACGGCGGGTACGCAACGATGGGCAATCAAAGCAGAAGAAAAGTTGATGGGGTAAGAATGAAAAGACACAAGTAGAGAAAAGGGACGACACGAAGCAGATTGAAGGAGAGAAAAGAGAGGCACAGAGAGATAGAAATAGAGAGAGATCAATCGAGAAAACGACAAACGGTACACAACCATCAGCAACAACGCTCTTTCTCTCTTTCTCTCCATTTCTCCATGTTTCTGATGGCCGCGCGTCGCCAGCCGCTCCCGGTCCCCTATCATCCTTATCGCACAACCTTATCAATCGTGTCTCGCTAGCCAAGGACGTTAGATGGCAAAGCCAAAGACTGTCTTTCACCCGCAGTAAACGCTTGTCCGCCTATCTTCTCCTCTCATTCCCAATCTTTCGTTTTCTCTTTTCTTCTCAGACAAAAAAAATAATCCTCCACACATATCGATTACATGAGATGATGCGGATTTGAGGCAGGAGAAGGCTGAAAGAGATTCAGAGAGATTGAAAATTGAAGAGAAAAAGGCGCAAAACGGAAAGAGGACAGCTTTTTCAGAATATCAACGGAAACTATGGCCAGAAATAATTAAGGCAATACGAAACTCAGCCAAGAAAAGCGTTATTACTGAGCCTTTTTCCCTGAAGAGATTCTCTCTCTCTCTCTCTCTTTCTCTCTCAATTCAAACATATGAAGAAATGAAAGATTTCATTGAAATTCAGAGAAATATCTGCAAAATTAATCAACTATCCTCGGTATAGAAATGAATTTTGGTCTCTACTTTGGTCAGAATAGTAAAATCAAATGAAAATTGAGGCAAAGTCGCACGCTTTAATGAAAACTGATCATGAAAAAAGCTCTAAGATCAGCTGGCCACTTGAACCGACGGCCTGATATCGAATGTTTGAACGATTCAAACAGATGTAGAAGATGTGGAGAATAAAACTTTCTACCCTCAGCGAAGTTATTAAAGAAAAATTCGATCTTATATCATTAATGTGAACTGCTTCACGAAATTGACGTAATTTGAGAAGCGACTAGTTAAGATTCTGAAGATAAAAGAGACACCCCCTCAACATTTAGAGTCATTCCTTTTTCGGAAGGAAAAAATGTAGAAATGTCGGTATATAGCAGAAACTTTGTTTGCCTAAAGAAACTTCGCAGCAGAAATTCGTTAATTTATACGAATTTCGAACAATTGGAAGTTTTATAGTAAATTCTGATGCATACCGTTGTTTGAAAAAAGACAACCAACAATCATAACGCATCTTAAAATGTAAAAACGTAACGAAAATTGCGTGACGAGAAATCGATTAACTTTCATATGAGATAAAAGCCAAGAAAGAAAAACTTACGTCTGGGACATTGTATGAATAGTTATTATAATTTCCATTCATCGCCCACATGGATATGGGCGTCGTAGAAGAAGCGCCTAACATCAAAAAGGCAGAAAAAGTTTTTTAAATCGCAAATAGCTTGAGTCGGTCAAGCTCTTGGGCAGCGAAATGACACGAGAATGAACTAGAGCCGGTCTTGGGCGGGGCCTGCTCCACGTGTTGGCTGACGGCCAATTCGATGACGTGATGCTCAACCACCACGGTGTCTTTCATCTCATCTTTTCAACACACTCTTCATGCTGATGAAATGCCTGCGTCTATTCGCTAAACACATTCTTTTTAGCCTTCGGCTGTCTGTTGCCGCCAGCCCCCCGCCAACACTATCCAACAACCCTTCAGACTCATCACTTGTTTGTGTGTTTCTTTACCGCACAATGCTATTAAAGGGAGAAATCGCATACTATTCGCCTTTTCCTCCAAGGACAAGCAATGGTTGATTCAAAAAGTTACAATTCGAATTAAGACCGCGAGGAATATAAATTGATCACAGGAAACGTTGTTCTATTCTCGTCTGCATACATTCCATAAATCTTTTTGAGGTTTGAAAGGGATATAGTGCAATACCGGTATAACGGAAGTGAGATTTTCTAAAATTAGTAAGCTACTTATAATTTTTCATCAAATGGAAACAAAGCGAGGGCATACATAATTCACTTTGTTCAGCTTCAAGCAAACCATACTGATTAGCATTACTATTTTAAGAACGGAGAATCCGTAATCAGAACATTCCTATTGCACAATAGATACACAACTTAAGAAAGCAAAAGATATTAAATCGGCTCAAAACGATCAAAAATGACAAACTTTTCCAGAAGATCATGACCTAGCCATATAGATTATAGATAATGCAAAAGGTAATGATAACCCCCACTAAAAACATACGATAATGATCGCCTTACATCCAAGTTTCAAGCGATTGCGAAACAGTAGACTGCTACTCTATTCTATATTAAGAAAGTAGCTGCTTGTTCGGCTCATAAGAATTCATGAGAAAGAAATAAGAAGAAAGCTGCAGAATTCATATTAAGATAAAATGAGGGTTCGAAAGAATATTATACGCGACATGGCAAGCTCAACTTCTCATTATTGAACTGCTAATCTTCTCAAGTCAGAACTTGAAACTTAATTAATAGCGCTCTCTTTCAGCTAATATACATCATGATTGTTTGACTAAATTATGAAAAAATAATGTAGCAATCAAGCGAACGAAATCTAAAGATCACACTAATACGTCAGCTAAACCAATGCGCATCGAAAAATGATATTCAACTAACTTGCCCACAAACACTAACAATGAATTCAAAAAAAAAACAAAATCGCTAACCGTATTAGGAATATTTCCTGTTACTCTTGGTTGTGGAGGCATATGAACCAATGTGTTTCCTGTCATTTTTATTTCCTGATCAAACATATAAGGAGAAGCGTTACTAGCGGAGGACTCTGCAAATTGTTCAATTAAAATATGATTTTTGAATTCTACTCCGGCATTTTCAACTGCCTCGCCATAAAAAACAGAATGGCATATATTGAAGATGCTGAAGTCTTTACAAGCATTATGCAAACGAACTTACCTGACGCTGTTCGTAATCTCCCACGCGAGTTTAATGTTCGAACAGGTAGACACTGTAAAATTCAAATTCAAAAAAGTTCTATCCTATTTGTTCATGTTAGCAGAATATTTTTGCCTCTTCCAAATATTTTATATGAGAAACTAACACCACTAACTCCTGGTTTCCTCTTTTCTATAAGCATATCTAGTCGAAGACTTGGTCTACCTTGATGCGGCGCTAATCTATGGTTTTGTGATGGATCCATCTGAAAAAAATTGATAACATTTTTAATATTTTCAATTGAGCCGAAAAGCTTAATTTCAATACAACCAATCGCAAGCTTGCTACTACGTAAAATGAATACACCATACACCATGTTTACGCCAATAACAAAACAGTTGACACATTTTCGGTGCTTACATCGGATTAGTTTAAGAACTGTTGTTTTATTAAAATATATTGCCTATTACTTCGTAATTACATTTTCTAACTGATAAGAACCTGATTAGAACAAATTAAACAATTTATCATTCGAAGTGTTTCGCTCAAACCAGAGATCGTCGATTAAAATAAAGTTATATCTAATTATACATCGTTTTCAAGAATTGGCTCGCTCGCTCACAACGTGCTATTTTCTGTAATTATTGGATGCTGGAGTTTATTCATGAAAAAGGGAAAAAAACAGATTTATCTGTAAAAACAATTTCAAGTGTCATTCAGACGTCAGTATGATAACGGTTGAACTGTGCGCATGTAATTGAACGAGTTCGGAAGAATCTTATTGTCTTTTCGAGACTTTTCAAGTCGCGACGTTGACTTTCGAATGTTTTTTTCAGTCGCATCATCTCACATTTCATTTCTCTCACTGTAAATTCTTGAAAGTATGACTAATCCTTATTAAAATAAGTTTCGATAACATTCCCGATTGGAAAAATTTTGATTTCTGAGGCGTATATAATGGATTTTTGAAATTCGAAAATTTTCGACTTTTTGTTTTATCTTCGGTTGAATTTGTAATGAACAGAGAACACTCGAATTCAGTGATTCAAAGAGGTCATGAAAAGAAAAGAGGATGAAGACAGAAGAGAATTGATATGGCAAACAAATCAGGTAACCTTGATTCCCCACCAAAAAATCGATTTGACTTTGTCAAGAAATAAAAGTGCAAGCAGACGAGGCAACAGTGATTTTTGTTTGAATTTTTTTTTCGTTGGATGAATTCCATATATGTCCGTTCTCTCTTCACATTGATCGATGATTCAGGAGTCAGATAGGGAAGGAGACAAAGATGGTGAAGTAAAAATGAGAAAAAGAAGAAAAATTTGAAAAGAGCTGGATCAACACGAACATAAAAGACTGGTGAAAATGCCAATTTCGGTGGTACCGTATGATCAGCTGCTGTCAATTGTATTGATTTGGAATTTTTTGTGTTTCTTATCATGATCAAATTACATTCTTCATGTTTATTATTTTATTTTTTTTATTAAACAACCGTTCTCCCGTTTGGGAATGGAATTTGAGACAAACGGTGGATCTGTGACGTAATGAAGTAACAAGTAGTAAACGAAGAATTTGAAGTTGTAGAATTCGCAATTTACAACCTCGTCGAACATCATGAGGTCATAAAAGGAATTATTGTCGAGTACTAAGTGACTCTAGAGATTCATTTTCTCACTGATGAACAATTCCCTTGATAGTACAAGTTGTTTGAGATATTTTTCAACCTGCCATCAGATTGCCGGTTCCGCATTGCTGTACGGAGGAAATGATCCTCATCGCCTCACCAAAGTTCGGAAAGCACGTTGCTTTTTGAACTTCTGATGATTAGAATTCCCGTAGCTTGTTAAAGCATGATTAACAGATAATTGTTCTTATTGAATAAACAAATTGCTTGGCATAGCATGTGATTTTTTCTCAAAACATACATAATGTCTTCATACAACCAACTCATCGTCTTGCTTTCTTCCCCCCTTAGTTTATATCAAGCTCTTCATCGGAATGTATCTAATTCCATCGTAATGTCCTTTGTTTGACAGGGCAAGCTTTCAGGAGCACTAGTGTTTAGGGTCACAATATTTGAATCTTCGTAAAATGGCTCATCGAAGAAAACGAATTCCAAAACGGCAGTTTTGCAAGAGACACCAGCAGCAAAAAAGAAGAAGGAAATATAGCATATAGTGCTCGCGTGAACTGCATAAGAAACATTATTGTTCTGAGAGGAAGAGGGATAAAAAGAGGACACAAGAGATGGAGAGATGAGAAGCTTCGTTTGACTTTGTTGGTTGTGGTGTCCTGCCCGTAGGGACCGCCCCGCGATGCCTGATTTGTCAAGGCCCAGCCAATGACCCCCAAACTAAATCTGTGCCACATCTCGTTTTTCATGAATCCGGCATAATCCGTTTCTTTGTAAAAGCTAAAAGTTCAAAAAAGAATTTGCATATCCAAAAAAAGGATTCTTCAATTAGCATGTGACATTCCTTAGTCCTATTTTTGCTTCTTTATATAGAACTTTAGTTTATCTTGCGCAAAGTTTACAGAAGCTTAAATTTCATGTGTCTCAATCTTAAAGACTATTCATAGAACATGAGATCATTTTTGCCATTCTCATTTTTCTTTTATTACAGAATGTCGTAGAGAGGAATCATGTTGATAAGATTCATATTCTTAACAACCATTATATCGTACACATACTCATATATAGCTACATGTCCATCAAGATGTCAATGTTATGAAGATTTAGAAGATAGACAACGTTCATTACATCTTATATGTAAATGGGAACAGGTAAAGCTACTTCCAATACTTGTTTGATACACATATCTTACTCTCTGAGAGAATATTGAGAGCAACATCAGCAACAGCCATTTAAGATTAGAAGTTTCTCACATATCTCTAAGTCTCTCTGTACTTCCTTCCTACTTCTGCACTCTTCATCTAATTTTTGATGTATTCATGAAATTATATACTTTTTCTGATTATTTTGTATATAATTTCATAATTCTGAAACATCTCATGTAATATATGGCAATTACCAATTTTGTTTGTTGCATTCATGCGAAAATGGACCGGAATTTCCATGAGGCCAATCGTGTTAAAAGTTCAAAATTGCCGAAGAACAAGGATTTCTTTCAATTTCGAACCAAATATATGGAGACCAGATGATTAAACAGTTCATTTTTCAAGTAAATATAAACATATAATGTCTTCTAAGAACAACATCGTTTCAATCAAACATTCCACTACACAGGAATAGATTCAGCTGATGTTGATGTGTGTGTGTGTATGTGTTCACTCACCAACACCCATTTGACAACTCAGATTTATAGGCTGCAAGACGTTTTTGTAGAAATTTTGATTCAAAATAACGCTCTAAGTTGTTATTCTGAACGATTTAGAAGAATAGTGACGAATAAGTTGACATCTAAGAGTAAATAGTCTAGTTGGAGTATATTAGGATATTTAGAGAGACATCTATCTGACAGATTGATAAATGCAATCAGAATCTTTCAACTCCCATGAGGATTTGTTAGCTGGGGGGTCGTCGTCAACGGCATATACGTTAAGCATCCTTCTTTGTCGGGAATCTTAAAATCATTTGCATAATATGTGACATAATCTTTTCACAACCATCTATTTCTATATATGGTAACACAAGTAATTCAATAGCATTTGTAGGTGAACAGCACTAATTTACAAACACTTGGCCGACCGGAACGTGTACGAACTTTGACGATTCGATGCCCACATTCAGTTTCTGAATTCAGCACACCTCCTCCGGGTATTTTCCATGTTAGCTTTATGTAATTTGAATGAATTCACAAATAACTATATAGGGTCTACGGAATTTGGATAGGCTAGAGATTGACCGATGTCTTCTTCGCAATTTACATCCTGCTTTACTTTCGGTAAAAATTCAAACTGGAAATTTTGAAGTTTTGACGACATACTCTTCATGCGAAGGGAAGAAAGAATTCAAACACTCAATTAGAACTTCTATTGTTGGTTTTTTAAGTTTTTTTTTCTTTTCCTTCAGGGACTGCACAAACTCTACAGCCTCATCATCAAGAACTCGAAATTGGATGATATACCAAAAGACTTCTTCGGCTATGTTCCAAATCTGATGACACTGGACTTAACGGGAAACAATCTACGGATAGAACCATATTCCTTACGGTCACTAAAGTAGATACGAATGTTGTAGAGCATATTAGATGGCAGTATCATTTCAGGAATCTCATTCATCTGGATTTGAGTAACAATAGCATAACCTTCTTAGCTAACACATTGATCTCACTAACTAAACTCAAAGTTCTCAATATGGACCATAATAAACTTGCCAATATTGATTTTCGAAGGTAAAATTTTCATAAACTCCTTATAAACTCCAATTATGGTAATTTAAAACTCTTCTACTCAATTCAGGCTTCCGGAAGAACTGACGGATCTGTCATTGCGACATAACTCCATAAATACTATACATTACGTTCCCAATAGTGCAAGGTTCGACTTTCTAATAACAATGAATAGAGAATGGCTACATGAAACTGAGAATAGCGTATGAAAACAGAATAAACGAGTTGAAATTAAAAAAAGAATGTCAATGAACAACCAGTCACACGTCTTCAAAAAAGCTTAAATGACGATTCTAGCTGTTCATCCGACATAGACACATTTCTGGGCGCCAAATTCAAATATTAATAATAATGATATTGTAATCATCATCACCATCAACAACTTCTTTTTAAGACATCTTAGACGATTGGATTTAGCTGGAAATTTATTGGAACATATCAGTTCAAGCGGATCTGTTAATGTTCTACCTGTATCATTACGATCAGTAGACTTATCACATAACAGAATTAATTATATTCAAGAAGGTGTAGTGAACAAGAATAGTAAATTGAGTGTATTAGATTTGAAGTGAGTTTTTTATGGCTGTTTTTCGATCAACTATTCGTTTCACTTTAAGAAATAATTCATTACATGAGCTGAGAGAATCAGCCGTCTCGGGATCAGCATCGAATTCTAAGCTTCGTGTCTTCTTAGCAGATAATCCGTTAAACTGCCATTGTAACATACGATGGCTTCTACATCTGAATCAAGTTGTAAGTTACAGTCTCTCATAAGAGATTTTCTTTTTTTTGCCAAAATTGGCTCAACTTATGGGAGAATAGTTATTCGTCGCCAGCTAAATGAAGCTTGTATAGCTGTTAGTCACACAATAAGAGCATCAGCATTCAGGAAATGCTGGTTTTTTTCGAAACGGAAGACATTTATTTCTGTTTGAATCACTCAATTGGTCATTTCAGTCGTCGGTCGTTGTTTCTGATTTGGATCAGTTAAAATGTAATCACATAATTGAGGTTAATCAGACGATTGCCCTTTCTATAGCAGACTCCACAAATCAGTTGATGTGCAAGTACACTGAAGTACGTTATTGTTTTTGAATTGATTGTTTAAAATAATCTTTTTAAAGTATTGCCCAAGTTCATGTCGATGCTGTCCAGATGAGAAGTGTAAATGTCGATCAACTTGTCCAACTGGATGCACATGTTATAGATCAGCCAATGCCGACAGTCCTAGAGTGAGTTCATTTGTTTTTCTTCTATTCCACACATTTTATTATTTCGAAAAAAGTTTTATTTCGAATGCAAGGGCACAATGAATAGAAGGAAAATATAAAAAAGATATCTACTTGCGTTGAGTTCCATCTTCGAAGAAGATACCTCCGTCGATGGCACAGTACTTGGGGCAGATACCCTTCTCTCCAGTGTTGGCAGAGTTTCCGTCGCTTCCTGGTTCTCCTGGTCTTCCATCGTTTCCTGGCTTTCCTGGTTGACCATCTTGTCCCTTCTCTCCTTGAGCTCCTGGAAGTCCATCGTTTCCTGGTCTTCCAGCTGGTCCTCTTGGTCCTTGGGATCCTGGGGCTCCATCCTTTCCTGGTGCTCCTGGTTGAGGTGGGTTGCTGCGGGCTGGGGCTCCTGGAGCTCCAGATTCTCCTTGCTTTCCTGGGGCTCCTGGTCTTCCAGCGTGTCCTGGAGTTCCAGATTCTCCTGGGCGTCCATCGGATCCCTTGCTTCCTGGGCGTCCGTCTCTTCCATTGTTTCCTCCTGGTCCTGGTGGTCCTGGTGGTCCTGGTGGTCCAGCTGGGCATGGACGGCATGGTGGTGGAGTGATTGGGTCGCATGGAGTTTGGAGTGGACGTCCTGGATTTCCTGGGGCTCCTTGAGCTCCTGGTCTTCCGTGTCTTCCTGGTCGTCCTGGGACTCCGGCTGGTCCGTCTGGTCCTGGAAGGCAGCATCCATGGCAGGTGTCTTGTTCCTCGTATGAGGCGACTCCAGCATCATAGGCTCCGTATCCTCCGTATCCTCCGTAAGCGCTACGGGCGGTACGGTTGCGTGGAGAATCGTTCATAGCGTAAACGTTAGTCCAGATTCCCTAAGAGGAATTCGAAGTTAGGAGAGAAAACTACAACCATCTCAAACCTTGACATTGGTCTTACACTCACGAAGCTCAGAGTGAACTTGGCTACGGATGTGAGATACATAGCTGTAGACCATTGGAAGGGAAATGCAAACGGAAAGAACTGCGATGGCTGAGAAAGTCACAGCAGCATATCCGACGAAGCGGTAAGCCTGAAAAGGGCAAATGTAAATGGCGAATTATACTACGAGTGATTAAAATAATGTTGCAATGCTTACCTTGATTTTGGAATCGACGTCCATGGTTGACATGTAGAAAGAATATTGGACATTTCCTTTTATAGTATTTTAACGTTCCAGTAAATTTATTTTTTCATAACGGGAAGCTAATATTCTTCACTTCTTATCGATACAGATACCCAACTACTTTTTCATTCCGTTCTCCCTTTCTCTCTTTTTTCTCGAGTATGACCAAATTATGGAAGAGATCAGCGTTGCCTTCAGAAAAAGGGTTACGTCCGTCAGCATGACTTGAACATAGCTTCAACATTAATTTTCTGCAGGTCTTATTTGAAACCTTCTGTTTTCAGACTTCCAAAAATGTCGTTATGTGTGATCGGATACGTCTCGATAGGTTGGAACAGTTGCCAAAAACCTTGACAGACCTTCGGTTGAATAATGTGGAGTGGAAAGATTGGCCTCATTCCGTTTTTAATGAATCCAACTTGAAAAGTTTATCGATTACAAATTCAGCGTTAACTGATGTAGAAGCTGTGAGTTATCTTCATCTTGCTCCAACATAGTTGACAGTTTAGAAGTTCTTGGCAAGCCTTGAGACTTTGACGGATCTTGATCTCTCCTCTAACGAGATTTCGGAAATTCCTTCCAACTATGATAAGCTATCTCGTCTTCGATTGGCAGATAACCCATTGAGAGATTTCAAACCATCTGATATTTCAAAACTTGAGCATCTCAGCATTCTTAGCTTGAGCGGGAATCTAACAAGGTTTATTCTCAAATCACTTTCTACCTGTAACGATCATTGTTCAGATTCAAGTGTGACTGCGAAACTCCGACAAGCTTGCAATTGTGGTTACGTGAATCACGAAACCGTCAGAAGGTTAGTCATATTGATTTGAGGTTTTTTGAATGAAACAATCTTTTTTTCTCATCAGTATCACTGATTACTGATAACATGATTCAAACTCTACTATTGTTTGTAGTTTCAAAACTGAATTTTGGAATATGAAAATGATTGTTTAGGATAGGTGTAACCGTTCTTCTTCTCATCCTCTCTCTCTCTCTCTCTTTCTCCCTCTTGCTGTTCATTTCCTTTTCTATCTCTATTCTTTTTCTCTTTTAATGCAACAAATTCACTTCCCCATTTTCGAGATTTTTTTTGTTTTTCAGATTGAGGATATTGATGATCTGTATTGCCATTTGCCATCTTTCGGCACGGTAGTTGATTGGTTATTGGAGCTTCCATTGACTAGTTCACTGTTCAGGTACCAATAATAGAAACGTTGCCTGGGAAAGATTCTTTGTGCGTTGATGAGAACGAAGACACGAAGGAATGGGTAAATTTCGTGAAAAATACACAGGTGCTCGAGATCTCTTGATTGAACCTCAAAATCTCTTTTGTAGAAGAAGCCGACCAAAATGCGACCAAACAACGTTGATGAATCTGATCTTTTAGCTAAAATGGATGAAAATAATACTGAAAAGAATGTTAAGAAAGGAACCATGATGGAAGGGGATGAAGATGAAGATGAAGAAGCAGAGGAAGAAGCAGAAGAAGATGCAGACGAACAAGAAGAAGAAGAAGAAGAAGACAGCGAATTATCAAAGATGAATTCTGAAACAACAATCATGAAAGTTCTGACAACAAGCACAATCAAGATTACAACAGTGTCGACAACAGAGAAAGCAACAACAACTTCGTGAGTTGCTAACTATCATTTTATGAAAGCATCAAAAAATGATCTTTGTAGAAAAGAGATGCAGCCAACAGTTAGTACGAGTACAACTACCACAAGAAGTTGGAAAAAATATTCTCGGGAAGAGAGTGATGAAAATAAAGTACGTGAACACATTTATATTGCGTGTGAAGCAGTTTCATTTGCATAAATGATATTACTTGGAACGGTTGCATTGCATTAAGACTTGTAGGCTTCATTTCATTGTGGAGTTGACGAATGCTCGTTTCTTTCAAAAATCTTTATCTTACAATTCAAAAAGGATTTTAGAACATATCCATATAACATATTAAAATGAGAAAAATATGATTTTTGATATAGTTTCGTATGTAGTCTGGTATTTGTTCATTTAATCTCTGTCGAACAGAAATGTATACAATTCCAATTTCAGTTTATCAATGCGTTGATCGTTGTTCTTGTGATTGCTGTAGTTGTTTTGGTCTTTGCCATTGCAGCCACTCTATACTATAGGTATATAGTGAAAAGAGATAATTATTCTTGTTTTAATTCTCAGACTAGAAGCTGTAGAAGAGGAAATGGAACGTGAAGGTCCCGAACAGAGACCTCTAACTGAATAGATACATCTGCTTCTATGGAAGATCGAAGCAGACAAACTCAATGAAACAATTTTACGAATGTGATAAAGCTTTTAAAATATTTTAGTGAAAAAGTAAATAGCCTAATACAATTTTCATTTTTTAACCTATAAAGCAGAAAATAAAGGAAACAACACAGTTTCAAAACTGTTGTGTGGATGAAGCAATCTGCTCACTATACAGCATCCCTACTTCCTCGTCTAATTACAGAAATAACAGATAAAGCTCGACTTCTATGTACAGTACAGGTGTAGTGAACTCATATACAAGAAACTAAAGTAATAACTCTAAGAGCAATCTCGTGTTCAGATTCAGAAACGTTCATCAGCAGCTACAGTCGTTTCTTCTGTACCATGATTTTTTGTTTCAGGAAGAAATACCGTAATGAGTGTTGCAATCAGACATAAAACAGTATAGAACATGAATTGCAAGCCTGGATAGACGGTGTCCTGAAATGGATACGTATTGGATCTCTTTCTATTGCACTCTGAGATAAAGCAATGAAATTCATTATTTACCAATATTTCCATGTGGGTGGCAATCATAGCTCCCACATTGGCAACGGTAGCACAGAAGCCAAGACATATGTTTCGATATTGCACCGGAAAGCATTCAGCTCCATAGACAAAACAGCACATGAAAGCGGAAGCCGTTCCGAACTTTCCTATGAGCCATGCGAATAGAAAAACTGTTGCATGATCATCTAAAATGAGAAGAGCAAAATAGATTTACAGGAAATGAAAAAAAATTGTTTTTTCAATTAATTTTACCTGCAGGAAACAGTACACATACTATAAGTGAGGCAGCAGTGATGATATGGCTCAACATAACCGTGGGCTTGCGACCAAGTCTGTAAATAAGATGGTGTATGAAGATATGTTATGGACATTGATATCTCACAATTCCAATCCGAACGGGATGAGTAGATAACATGGCAACTCAACAATTCCAGAGAAGATGTAAAGTAAGTAAGGATTGGTATCTTTGCTTATACTGGTTGATGATAACGAAAAGCTGGCGTATAACATGAAATCCGTGATCCTATAGGAAATAAAGTTCAAAAGGTTTAAAGTATTCGATTATATAAGTATATAGATTAGAAATCTCTTCTCTCAACATGCACACATCATTATAATTCATTTCAATAACAGAGTTCCAGAGTACTTCCTCGTTGTTTCCTTCCACCTCCTCCCTCACAACCACAGAGATCTACTGTTCTTCTCAAAAGTGTATTTGATGCGTTAACACCCTTTCTCAATGATTTGCTACACTCTCTCTCTCTCTCTCTCTCTAAGACTTGTCATAATTCAATGGGAACTTTCAATCCCCCTTATAATAAAGTTAGGAGAACACCCACCATAGCATACTCTGAATGAAGACATATAATTTCAAATCGAATCGTTTAAGAATATTTCGTAGACATTCTCCCAGAGATGATTCCTGTGTTACATTTGAAGCATCATGAGCTGAAAAGATTTTTGATCATAAAATGATTTTTTTTTCTCTTCAATTTTTCTCTTCTCAATCATCAGAAAAGAGTAACGAGGGAAGCGAAAAAGAAATAGAAAGCCTCCTCAGAATGTTTTGCAACAAAGAAATTACCAATAATTTTATCCAAATCATAGTTATATTCTTGACGTGTAAACATCGATGCTTTACTTATCCATTTGTGTGCATCAGTTTTTCGCTCTTTTGCTATTAAAAATGAAAAACTTTCAGGTAAAGTGCTGAAATAACAAAATGTTTGTTGATCTATTCGAAACTCTTTCCATCCCCAAACTTACAAAAACATCAAAATTCCAAACAACACGCTTGGAATTGATATTATAAATTGGATATATCGCCAATCAGGTACAATTAGTGCTAATGGAGCAACCAAACAATATCCTCAAAAATCATTTTCCCTTCGGTTATATGTCAACAAAACAAACCGATAACCCATAAAAGTCCAAAGAGAAAGGAAGCAGCACCGTGGCCGTGGAAAGCAATTGATTCGCCGCATAAAACCCAATTTATCATAGTCAAAGCCTATAAAGAAATTTGTTCGCAAGCGTGTACTCTCATACAATATACACTGAAGAAAGAGCCCTGAATCATCCGTCCCAAAAGCATCAAATAGAAATTTGGCGCAAATGCAGCACCTGTACCAGCCAAGCCAGATATAATCAAGCTGAAGATTAGAACAGGACGTCTTCCAATTCTGAAATTCTGTCAATTAACTAGAATAATGGTTAACAACGCGCGTTCTACGTCACTCTTCACGCGAACTCTTTGATCGTTCTCATTTTGAAGTGTACGGTCGTAATGTACGGTTGCTTTGCTCAATCTCTTATTATTTTCAAAATAATATTATACCGTTTCAGATTGTTTTTCTCTCTTTTACTTCCACAATGCAACTCAACATCTCGTATGTACTCATTCATTAGATATTAACCTGTCAGAAGCAACACAGAAGATTTGACCGAACACTAGATTTCCTACGAAATATATAGAAGATGTCATCTCTCCTGGATCAATCAAAGATTTTTCAAGTCCGAACTATAAGCAGCGACGTTTAATAGAAAGACTTTATCACAAACTTCTTGTTGCACTGTCACGAATGTACAGTTCTTTTCGCATGGCATTGTTGGCGACATGAAAGCTGGAGATACAGCTGCTAAAGCTGACAACATCCATAGGAAAGCCATGGAAATCGTGATGAATTGGGTGAAAGGGTTGCATCTGTAAGTTTTTATCTTTACTCTCCATTTTTGGTACTGCAGAGGTTTCTCAAATCGGTGGTAATATTTTTAGACTCAGTTCTCTAATTGGGTGAATGTTCGCAATGAAATCAAAAAACCATTCAATGGTTGTACTAATAACGTATGAAGTGTCTCATGTTTGCAATGAAGCTCATTAATATCCCGAGGGTACGAGAATTAGTCAAGCTGTTGTAGAGAACATGGGGAAATATTTTTGAAATGAGAAAAAAAGAAGAAGAAAACTATTCTTACAGGCCAACATGCTTTAGGAGTTCCTCTGTAGTGACAATAGTAGATTCGCCCTTTTCGGATGATCTGTAAGCGAGTTCTCTTGAAGATTTTGAAACCATCAAGACCTGAAGTATATGTCTTTGAAAACAGATCTAGCAAACGGAAGTAAGTGAGAAGCCAAAACGTTTCAATTATCCTTTTTAATATTTCAATTGTTCTACACCTCGTGTCCTAAAACGGATTTGTGGGTATCAATAACTACGGGCGTTTCGAGTTCTGGTTTTCAAATTTAATAGAGCGAAAGTAAGGTTTTATTTGTTTTTTTTTTCGTTTGAAAAAATCGAAATCATATTGCCAGAGGGTAGAGTCATCCAAAACATAGATGACGACTTCTGGAGTTCACTAATGTAGGATGTAACTATTGGGATGTAGGAGCATGTAAACTGTTTGTAAGTTATTAGACGAAAGGAGATGAAACGAGCTGGTATCATGAATCGCAGTTGCAAGTGCCGAGTGAGGACAGTTTCGTACGACAAATGGGAATGAAACTGTTCGACTAACAAAATTCGAGAGGAGGAGCCAGGGAAATTATGAGCACCAATCGGTCTCCAGTTGATAATCCATGGTAATTACGGCAAAATAACAATCAGATGGGATTGAGATGAGAGATCGAATTCTCTTATTGGACCTTTTAAGGTAAAAAAGATTAAAGCGATGATTGAAAAACAATACCGTCATTCACAAACTTGATAAAGTAATCGCTTACGAACTACAACTCAGACACTAGAGAACTAAGGTAAGCCGGAAACAGAAGCAGCATGATTAGAAGCTTCAAATTACAATGTCATCCTTGTTCTCAAACAAATTGTTTGGAGAAGAATAGGTTTTTTGCATTTGTTGTACTACCCTAGCCTTATCATTCGAATTACCGACAACCATAACATTCCCATGCCTTGTTTTGACATCTTCTTTCTATTCTTCACCTATGCTTCTCTTGATAAATGCAATGTGGAAATCTTAAAAGCATGTTTTCAGTGTTGGCCAGATGAAGAGTGATGAAAAATTCCCAAACAATCCAAATTTTTATTCGTAGAATTGACTTTCTCATAAACGATGTTTGGCAAAAAAATTTTCCTACAGTCGTTTTAGAATTTCACAAGAATTCCTTGTTTGGCAGGTAAGGTTAGAGACGAGGAGAAATCAATCTTCTGTCGTGGTCGGAAGTCTGATAATCTCTCGGTGGCAACAACAATCTAAAAGTGTTGTTCATAATTTCAAAAGAATAAAACGCGTCATACCTCTCCGTCGTCATATTCTTTCGGTGGTAAAACAACATCGAAATCTTTGAACTTCACAACAGCGTTTTCGGTACCGAAATTGAACAATCCCAGATAAGTCTATACATAATCAGTCAACCGAGAAGTGGGAAAAGGGAACCTACATGGCTAGTAATATTGGGGTTCTGATGAGAACGTCCAAGTGCCAGGACATCATCGACTACTTCCACTTTACCGAGTCCCAAGCTGAAGATCTCATCTCTTTGTCTCAACTTTGCCAGCTTCTGTACAATCTTGAGCAAAGAGCTTTCAGTTGAATAGTGACTCTGAAATAGAACACACGATGAACTCCTGTTGTATGTTATCACTCACGTCGAAAGTTGAGCCGTTCTTTGAGGTGTCCAAGCCTTTCGGGAGTTCTGCTGTGGACGAAAATCCTGAGTTGACATCTGAGTTCCATCTCATCGCACTATTTTGCTTGGAGACCTTGGAGCTCTGCATTCCTAATTCTTGACCGTAGTGTAAGGAGATGGCTCCTGGCATGCATAGCTTAGAGAGAAACATTTTCTACAGAAAAGATTAGGATAAATTACTTGTAACATTGTCATAAGCGCAGCGGACTCTGGATCAAAGCGATCAGCCAGGCGGCTGCTCTCCGAGTTTTCAAACTGCCAATACTTGGAGTATGAGTCCACTTTTGATAAGGAGGAATTAACGTAACCAAAAAGACAAGAAGCTAGATTCTTCTTCTCGCAGTCAGCCGATTTGAATTTAGTATAGCTATCGTCAACTACATGATACAGACTGCGCTCAACTGTTGGTGGCCTCTCGCTTTGTCGACTGTTCAAGCTTGCAAAGAAGAATCTAAATCTTCAGTGATTAAGTGGAAAGAACCGAGGAAACATACAACTGCTTGTCTTTGATTTCGGGTGTGGAATCTTTGGAATCACGAATAATTCCAGCGAATGTTCTTATAACGTTTTGACCCTTCTCCAGAGCCTGAATGAAACATAAGGACTTCTTCTTGGTTTAAGACACACACCTCCTTGTCGGGTAGTTCAAACACCTTGATACCGGCAACGTCTCTGACATGACCCACGTTTATCCCATCAATTCCCATACTTGTATATAATTGAATTATTTTCACTGCTCGTGTACGGACATTGTCACTGAACATATCAAGTACAGGATGGTCTTCATCTGGAGATCCCAAGTATCTGTAACAATCATGAGTTTAGAAACGAAGATCATCCTTGAATTACTTTGTTTGGTTCTTTCCAGCCCAGTTATAAAACTTTTCCGAGTTGTACAAGCTATTGACAGGCGTTACTGTGACGAAATGTTCTGTTTCCCCGTTAGCGAACCAAGGGTGCTTCTTAGAAACAGTAGCAATGGGTAAATCCATAATTACGTGCATATCTGAATACAAGAATTATTCAGGCTTCTGAACTCTGTGGTACCTTTATCATGTGCTACTTGAATCAAATTCTTGAGTTCTTCTTCTGTTCCAAACCTTTCATCGACCTTATTTTCATCTATGATGGCGGAAGCGTCGAATAGAACATCCTAAAAAATAGATTAAAGCCCCTCTAATCCTAAGAAACCACCTTATCAATCTCAACTACAGGTGACAAGTGAATCGTTGTCACTCCAACTTTACGAAGCAGATCTAACTTCTCTGTTACTCCGTTGAAGTCTCCTATTCCATCTCCATTGGAATCCCGGAAGCTTGGAAGAGAAATCTGGCAATGACAAATGATTCAAGTTATGTGATAAAATGCTGACCTGATAAGAGACTTGTGTTGTATACCATATAGGCTGCTCTTTCTCCGCACATTTAGGGGAGAAGACAACTATAGCAATAGCGGCGGCGAACATCAAGAGCCAAGAGAGCCAGAATACAGCGAAGAGAACGGTTCTGACAAACGATGAATCTGAGGTCGGTTTTCGAAGATAACTTGCTTACCTAACCGGTTTCCAAAACGGATCGTTCCTATAAGATTCCAATTGTTCCTTAGTAAGCCCGATGTTCTTAGGTTGAAGCTCAAAGTTGACTTTCTCGCCATTCTAATGAAATGATATCATAAATCACACGAAAAAATAAATGTTCACGAACCTTTTCATAAGTGGCTTGTCCTCCTTCCATAAGAGACTCGGTGGCCGCCATAGTTTGAGTGGGCTTACAACTTCCTGAAAATGAAAAGCTCCATAATCTCGATAAGTCCTCAGAGAGAAAGGCAAAGGATGAAAAAATAAATCGATATTGAGTAAGTAGAAGTAGAAAATTCTAAGGAATGAACAGATGGGATAGTTGGGTGGAATTCCGATAGTTATGCAACGAAAACAAAGATTCGTCTACTTCCGAAAGAGTTTGAGGAGGATATTGAAATTTCAAGACACTGAATGAAACAGCTGTTAGGAATTTATGTTGTAAATTAGGAATACTAGAGAGAGGCAAAAAGGGATAGAAGGAATGTCATAACCTTTTTCTAGTAAAATAAAAACTTTCTTATCGTCAACGTATTGAAGTAGGGGAAGATTATAATGATCTTCCAATACAAATTCGTTGTAATAAACGAACTTTAATTGTAATGAAATTGTGAATGTCGCGAGAATATTGAGAAAAGCTGATTGGATGTGTATACACAGGTTTGAGAAGCTCATTTCAGCTGATTAAACGCAACACTTAGCATGAGAATCAAAAACCTATTGGTCGAAGACGATAGTATAATGAAACAACTTCACAATATCACATAAAGAACAAAGTAATTCAAAGTGGAAATATAAAATTCTGACAAAACAAATGAGAGGGTAAAAGACTTGAAATTGAGTGACAGATGGAAGGAAAAGTCAGTCATCATTATGTGATCAATTTTATAAAACTCTAACTCAATTGTAAGCGCAAGTAGGAAGGTAAATACGCTCCCAGTGGAAGCGAGTGAATGGTGATCAAACAAAGCACGTTTTGGGGCAGAAAAAGCAGAAATAAGTTTAGCTTATTGAACGCTAATAGATGATAAAACTAAAAAGTATTCGTTCGCATACGTAAATTCAACAGAACACGACAATTGGACAGAAGTTCATACGTACTCATTTCAATTCTTTAAAAAAAACCGGTTTTCGCTCTTTTGCAAGTTCAAAAATTAATTTTTTTTTCATGAAAACAGCTCAAAGGGAATTTCCTGTGATGAAATGAATAGATTGTTCGTAATCTATTCGTTCTCTGGAAGCTGACGTAATATACGGTTATCCAAATTGATTTTGTTTGAAAGACCCCATTTCTTGCAGCGATTTTTAAATCCCGCCCCCAAATGCATGCTCCGCTTGCAATTTCTAGCCCTCCCTATTTACCATGAGTCAAATTGCGTGCTGTTTATTTCGGTTTCATTTTGTTTAGAATTCGACTTCATTCTGCTTTGAATTTTTAGTTTGTTAAGCACAATTTGTTGGAAACGACTAACTCTTACTTGCGTGCAAGCTTTTAAAGTTTTTTCATATTCTAATATCCGTTTCGCCTAGGTCCCTTCAGTCGATGGCGTAGAGTATTATATCTAGTGATAGAACTAAAAGGAAATAACAGCTTTTATCTCTCTGAATCGGAGATTTAAAAACCAAAGAAGTTTGTTCATTGTTTGTAATAATTGGTATCCCTGTGAAAGCCTCTTCCACTTTCTGGCAGAAAGTTTTTGTACATTAGTATTAGACTTTCATCATGGTGAGTTGGTTTTGCATGTTACTCATATGTTTTTCATTTTTCAGACTATGTTATTCGGCTTCGGCCAATCTGCCGATATCACCATTAACTTGGATAGTGAAGAGAGTAGAAAGGTTATCATTTCCTATCATTCTTCCTTATTCTCATTGGTTTAGGTTGCGAAAATTCGCGGAGAGGATGGTCAGATGGAAACTCATTACTTATTTTATGACGGGGAAACAGTTTCTGGAACCGTAAATGTAGCCTTAAAGAAAGCTAATCAAAGATTGGAACACCATGGAATTCGTGTTGAGTTCATTGGTCAAATAGGTTTGTCTGCTCTATTTATAATTGTGTATATTGATCTCGCTGCAGAAGCTTACTATGATCGCGGAAATCAGCATGATTTTATTTCTCTTTCGTATGAGCTAGCCAGGGCTGGAGAGTTAACTTCGAACAAATCTTATAAATTTGCTTTTAATAATGTTGAGAAGCCTTACGAGTCATACATGGGACAGAATGTCAAATTACGGTGAGGAAAACTGGTAGGAAATGGTTTTGATTTGAATTGTTCAGGTATTTCTTACGCGTCACTATTGTGCGAAGAATAACAGACATCACGAAAGAGATGGAACTCATCGTGCATACCCTAAGTGCCTATCCTAATGCCGATAACAATATTAAGATGGAAGTCGGAATAGAAGATTGCTTACATATTGAGTTTGAGTATAATAAGAACAAGTGAGTTGTTGAAGCTTCAGCTGTTCCTTCAATTGTTGTTTAGATATCATTTAAAAGACGTGATTGTTGGGAAAATATATTTCCTCCTTGTTCGGATCAAGATTAAATATATGGAAATTGCTATAATGAAGACTGAAGTTGTCGGCGCTGGGCCGAACACCATCAAGGAAAATGAAACGGTAGCGAAATTTGAAATTATGGATGGAGCTCCCGTTCGAGGTTTGAAGTTCAAGGGTTTACGAAGTCACCACCGTGATTCAAGGAGAAACCATTCCCATTCGACTCTTCCTCGGAGGTTATGATTTGACACCGACTATGCGGGAAGTTGCAAAGAAATTCACTGTAAAATATCTTCTTAACCTCGTCTTAGTGGATGAAGAAGACAGAAGATATTTCAAGCAACAGGTCAGTCTGCAATGATCCTACTTTAAATCTAAAACTTGGTTTGTATAGGAAGTAACCCTCTGGCGTAAGTCGGATAATCCCATTCGACGTATTAATGAAGGAGCTGCTGTTGGACAAATGCGAACGATTCCTGAGCCGGAGTCGGGTGATAACAATATTGACGAGTAATAGATCATTCCTGGAAAATCCTCTATAATTTTGAAGATTTTTAACTATTGGGGTTCACATTATAGGTATTCCTACATCCGTTTTGCCAAAAATTTCACTTGGTGCCTATTTCTAATGCCGTTTTAGCTTTTTCTTTACTGGTTTCAAGTAACTGGTGAAACTTTGATTGACAAAATTAAAACCTACGAGTTAAAATCTTTTATGCACACAACCTGAGCGTTTGTAATCCCGTTTGATATTTGTAAGTATGTCCATCACTCGTAACCTTAGGCTGTGATAGTTTCAAGTTGATTTTTAATATTTTATAAATTTTATGAATAATTTTTGACTTACGTTCCTCGTTGTGTCGAAATACCTTCCCTGCTCCAAGCGTTCTCTATTCTGAACAACTATCATTTCCTTTTATAGACGACGTTTTGAGGAGGCAGGTTTTTAGAGCTGTAAGAAAGTTTTAGAATGATGGTAAGTTGCTCGACAGTTTACCTATAATATGCTTTTGCTCGTATATTTTACAATATAGACTCGATCTTTTGATTCCTTCTCTCACCAAACAGCAAAAGGTCACCATCTTACATTAAGCTTGATCTCCCACCAAAGACGAATTTACTATATTTGGACATTCTTCTTTGGCTCATTTTCTCCTCCCTCTAACTCCTTCTTTCGGTACTTGTACGCTAAAAGAATGTCTGTTTTCTTATTTCTTTTTCTCTCTCTTTTCGTAACCCTCTTTTGTATATATGTGTGTAGACCTGAGATAGCAGCAATTGAGGCGAATCAGCCGGTGTGTGTGCGCGCGGGCCGCTCGTGGTTGACGACGGATTCGTTCAAGGCTGCTCCACTCTCCCTCTTTCTTTTAGATTTCCCTCGTGAACTTTTATTTAGCCCGTTGTTCGGCCCTATCGTCATGTCATAAAGACTTTTCGATGACCATCGCTGAGGTCCTAGATATAGATGGATGCGCAAAACGGAATTTCCTCGCACTATCGTTTGCACTTATATGGTTGTCTTGGCTGACAAGACAACTTATTTCGTATAACTCGTCATGTTTTCTCATAGTTAAAAACCATCTGTTTAACTAATACTGTCCGTCTGACAAAAATTGTTCTGATTTCGCCAAGGTCATAATGGAATTTATATTCTGACGTTGACACGAATCCTTATTATAGTTCTGAAAAAGTTTTAAATATTTCGAAGTTTCTTGTATCTCCAGCTTTCTTCTCTTTTCTTTTCGTCTTCACCTTGATTATCGGAAATGTCTTCATTGCGTTCGACTGTCAATTTCGATGATCTGTTCTTTTTTTTGTCTAAAAGTAAAAACATTTTGAAAACATTTAGCCATTTTTCATCCATCAAGTTTTGGGATGACTCACTCTGTGATTTTTTTATCCCACAACCTATGCTTTGCTGCCCAAGTTTTCTTTTTTTCTCTCTCTCTCTCTCTCTCTCTCTCTCTCTCTCTTTCTCTTCTTTGACCTCTTGTTTTCGAACTGTCATCACATCCGATCAACTCTGTCATCATGGTCGCCACTTTTGATGATTTCTTCTCAATTATGGATTTACATGAAGGGATACTCATGCGAAGATAAGAAAAATGTCAAAAGAATTAACGGCAATACGCGAGAAAGATTATGACGTGGTCTTATCAGTTTTAAATTAATTTATTATTCAAAAAATTAATAATTGAAGTTAATTGCAAGCACGTCATTTCATTTCATCAAACTTTACATTTGTATCCTCATTGTTTAGAGAGCCTGTTGACACACAACAGTTCTTATCTTTGCCATTGATCCTTTGTATTCAGGTGGAGTGCGAAAAGTTTTTTTAGCACTCCTTCGGAACATTATGAAAACTAATTCATTTGCTGCTCCTCATGTTTTGTTCCTTATTTGTATATATTGAGCCTATTCTTTCCTCGTCAACCACTTCTCGCGCGCTTTTCTTTTTCATTTCTGAACTCCCATAAGGTCTCGTTTTACTTCTTTTTTCCTGTGTTTATCTCTATTTCTTTTTTTTTTTCATTCAGTATTCAACCTTATTGTGTGTACTGCCCGTTGATCAGCTCATTGTTAAACATTTTTTTTCAAGAAATTTAAAGCATTCCTGGCCGTAAGCAAGTAACTATAATAAACTGTTCCTTATCAACCTGCCCTTCTTAGGCTCCACAATTGTTGTCCACTCTTCTCATCGATACTATTATTCACCGTTTTTTTCAAATTTCACTTTACAGATGTTCGGCAGGAAGAAGGAGAAAGTAAATGATGACACACCGGTAATAATTAAAAAACCACCTGTACCTCCGAAACGTACCATAATCAACAATGATTCTTTTCAAACAACACTTATCTCTTCTTCGAATGCCATCACTACAACAACTTCTACAACAACTTCTGTGACAACTAACTATTCATCGCCGTACACAACTGCTACTGTTTCTTCCAATGTTCAGTTCCAAGCTGGTCCTAGCAACGGTATGTTACGCATATTTACAAAATGGTATTTCAAACCCTATTCATGCAAATTACATTAGTCATAACTTCACGTGAAACTTCCGCTTGTGGTTGCATTGCTTGCTCAAGGTAGCACTGAGCGGTTGTATCTCAAAATAGGAACGAAAAAAAGAAAACATAAGCTACCTCTTCCGAATATTCACGGAAAATCGAACAATTAAAGTTATTCGAACATCCCATCACAATCTGGTCGTATAAATTTACATATTCTTCATAGTGCCTCTCAAATAACTGCTTTAATTCAACTTTCATATGCACATAATCTGTCTCGATCCTCTCGACTATCCCAAATTTCCTCTTCATATCTGTATATTTCCTCTTTTGCTCACCTTCTGAAGTATTTGCCTTACTCATATTTATGAGCATTGCGCACTTTCAAGACGTTAAAATATCATAAATTCTTTTCCAATCATATCATTTTGCTTCACTTATTCCAAAGCTGATGGTTTGCAAAAGTTTTTGCCAGCATTGTGGCAAAGGTTTCTTTCATTCATAACTGGTTCACTTTGAGCTATTTCAGATGTTTCTTCAACTTCCAACGACGTTCCAACTTCTCTGTTCGGAATTCCTAAAGATTTTGGTATAAAAGATTTGTCTTTGCCATCGTTAGCTCCTGTTCAAGTCAAAATCCGTAAACTGAAACTTCAGAAAGGAATAGGAGGTGAGTATAAGCTCTCTGCAGTATTCTATATCTGATATTTAGGAGATTTCGGTTTTACTATTCGGAGGGTTCAATTTCCCGTAGGAACAAAAGGAGAATTACGAACTGTTGTATTCGCTGAACCAACGGAAATTCATGCTGGCCCTCCTAGACCGGATGATATCAAGTAAGTTGAGAAGATTGAACGGCTGTCGCATACTCATAGGAATGGCTTGCTGCCTGGTGATCAACTGTTGGAAATAGATGGGCGCAGGGTTGATTCATTAAGTAGAGAGGAGCTTCATGAGCTTGTCAGACTAGCCGGTCAAACGATAGGTATCGAAATATGTTTTAATTCGTCAATAACTCTTTCTCTGCAGAACTTGTTGTAAAAGCTGTTCCGGAATTGGCAGAGTTTTGTGATAGAAGGCGAGGAGTGCGTGATGGCGGAGATGCACTTTTACTGAGTAATATAGACACTAACGTGCAATCAGTAAGTTCAAAGTTTTCACTTCCTATTTATATTTTTGATTTGTCATAGGATATACCTGAAGATCAGCGATATTGGTTAGTTCATAAAGGTGGCTATACACTTGTTCGGTTGGACGGACTTCTGGGAGATGGACGAGCTAAAATACATGTGGCAGGACAATCTATGGTTGTGGATTCAACGGATATTGATAGAGCCAACCCAAGCAGACTTGATAGAGCTCCCGATGTCGCTCATCTTCCTTATATTAACGAAACGAGTGCAGTTCATTTATTGAGACAACGGTTCGAAAAAAGTAGAAGTCGCTGATAATCGTTTTAATGTAGAATTGGAAGCAACTTACAATATTCTAACGCTGGATCACAGTCTTTACTGTGTGTTACTTCTATAGACGGCGTAGAAACTGCAGCTCAAGAGAGACTTGTACATCTCTTTAAAGGATGTCGAAGAGGACAAATGCCAGCTCATATATATGCAACTGCTCAACAAGTTTATAGGTAGACCGTTGATTATGGTGTTCAGATAATTCGCTTATTTCAGAAATTTGCAAATGACAGGATTAGCTCAAAGTGTTGTTTTAACTGGAGCAACGGGTAGTGGGAAATCAACCCAGCTCCGCAATTTGGTTCATTATTTATCGTCCGTTGCGGGATGGACTAAAGCACTGACATGTATTTTACGTTCCTGGAATTAGTAATTAATAATTCGTTCCAGTTGATAAACTAGCTCTGGTCTTGGGTGTGCTGGAAGCTTTCGGTCATTGCGCAACTCCTCTTCATACTGATTCAACCCGATTCGTTCATTTATTCTCTTTAGGATTCGATAAGGTTGCTGCATTGAAGTGAGTGGTGTTCTTTCTTTACTGGAGTTTAAACTTTTTCTCAGGTCGGCGAGAGTTCAAGCCTGTCTACTGGAGTCCGATCGAGTTCATCGTCGACCCGATGGAGAGTCTTCGTTTCACGTTTTCTATTATTTATGGGAAGGCGCTGATGGTGCTCTTCGTGAAAAGCTTCAACTCGATAGTATCGAAAATCCCACTATTAGACCTTTCCATCGAACAGCTGAAAGAGAGAAGGCTAAAGAGGTGAGTCATTTTCTCATTCTCAAGTGTTTGTTATAACTTTGATGTTAGGCTTTCAATCATCTACTCGGTGCACTAGTTGAACTAGGGTTCGATGAAGTTCGGATGCAGGCTGTTTTATCAGTACTATCGGCCATTTTACACCTTCATGCTGCTGGATCAACTCCAGGATCAGCTCAAAAAGCGATGTTCTTGAGAACAAAGCATGCACAGATTGCTGCTGGTCTACTAGGAGTGTCTGTTGAAGATTTGACTCAGGCCGTTTTCCGTGGAAAATCTCCTTCGACTCAAGTTAACTTGAATTCGGTTACGAAGTTGGTTGTTTTTCTTTCCATGTTGACAATCTTAATGTTTCTAGTCGCCTTGCTATAACTTCACGAGGCCCTGATGGACCCGAAGCATTGGTAGCTTTTGCATCTTCTCTGTATCAAGAGCTGTTCATTGTTGTCTTGGAACAGTTGAATAAAGCCTTGGCATCAAATACGACCTGCACGTTCATTTCGGTATATCCAAAAAAGTCCTAACTTCTCTATACAATGATGAATTCATATAGGTCTTGGATTATCCTGGCTCAACCTTCCATTCCGAGTGGGTCGAAGGTGCTCGAGCTACTCTTGGTTTGAATGATCTCGTGTTCAATTATATCAATGAACGAGTAGCAGAGCTCTTCCACGATGCAAGCTTTACCGAACCACAAGAGGTAACGTAATTCTAACTTGGTTTTTACAAATAATATATTTCAGGTTTACTCACGGGAGCAAGTAGATGTTCATGTAGAAAAGCCTGTACAATCTCCGCATGATATGAATCGCTTGCTTGATCAGAAACAACAACTTTTAACCTGCACTGATATTGACAGGAGATCAGAGGAGCGTCGAGGTCTTATGGCCATTCTAGAAGAAGAATCCATGTTCCCAGGAGCCACTGATGACAGTTTGCTGGAAAGATTATTTGTTCATCTCGGTGACGAATCGAAGTAAGTTGTTTTTACTTTAATATAAATCATTATGAAAAACAGACTTATTCGACGAGGAACTCGATCCAGACAGATTATTCTTAATCATGCTATGGGAGCTTACCCTGTCACTTACAATATCGAAGGATGGGTTAAGCAAGCACAACCTTGTGAGAGCACCGGTGTCGTACGACCACTTTTAACGTCGAGCAAAAGGTTCTTTGAGTGCAATGTTATATAGCTAATAAGCTCCTTTTGCAGTGAAAATGTTGGAGCTTTGTTCACCATTCCTCAACAGACCGCTGATATGTCCAAGCTCAGAAGAGCAACTCAAGTTGCACAGATGGAATTAGCTGCAAAACGAGCACCCTCGGGTTTCTTAGCGTACATAAATTCTCAGATTGTGAGTTTTTTCTGTTATTCCTTATACGTACAGAAAACCCTTCTGTAAATAAGTCTGGTTCCCGACTGTTCCTAATTTAAAAGGATTTAAAAGGGTCAGGCTTTAATCAGCGACGAGCACACATGCTTATTGCTCGATTCCGATAGTTTTTGACGCATCAATGTGAGCATTTTGCTGCGAACTGGGTTCTCCATTCGAAATCACCCAATCTCTGCGCATCATTGCTTCGAAACGACGAGTACGAACTGAATGTTCTTTTAATTTATTGGAACGAACTTGTCGCAGGTATAAGTACCCTCATAAAGTCTTATACTTTATGATCTGTACCATCTATTTAATCTGTTGGATTATCCTAAATCTTATTCTTGCTAGATATCAGTCTTCAACTGATACATATATATTCTTACATTTTCTTACCGCGCATAATGTCTTTATTTGGGTTAAAGAACAATATAGTCCAAGAGGTGAGGTTTCTTATAAATGTTCTTTCATGTTTGAAATTAACGAAAATGCATTATGTTGAGGAATGCGACCGCTCTCTGCATGCACTGACTATGAAATGAGAAACACAGCCACGTCATTTCCACGTGAAATTTTGTTTTTTTCTCTCATGAAACTTCTTTCTTAATTTCTGCTCCGTAGGCTTAAATTCCTTGTGCCTTTCTTACATGAAGTCAGTCTGATTGATCTTCTGTTTGTCTGTCAGCTTACTGTTGTGTATTAATGTGCTATAGCAGGTTCGGCAAGGCGTAGTTTCTGATATTTCCGGAAGTTGGAGTAATGCTAAATCGCTTGTTTGACATGAGTTTTCACGTCACATTCTATCATTTAGCTTTACATTCCTTTCATGTTGCTCATTGTTCGGAATCAAATATATCATTAAAGACACGCCATCCTAGACAGTTTTTATACTGAAAGTTTTTATTGCTGATGTCGTTATTGCTTAACTGAATTGACTTTTCTTTATGTGCGAGTGGCCAATATGCACTTAAAGAAAATGATGATTGGTGAATTACGATTTGTCTTATCCAGTTCAGTTGATAAGTCGCTTTCCATTGTGAGCGTCAAACGATCCCGCTGGATATTGCCAGATCACCATTATGTTGCGATGCTAGCAATGTTTATAGCCCGACGCTCTTTTGACATACTCCACCCTTACTTTTAAAAACTACTTTCAACAATTCATGTTATCTACAAATGATTTTAAACTCCTTGTATTCAGGACTACGTTTTCTCGTCTCTCAGACGAGCTCCTCGTTCACATTTTGTACACTGTGTTCAGCCGACTGCGGCTATGCGGACAGCTTCAGATATTGTCGATGTTCCTTTTATGCGCAGTCAGATGAGGTCTGTCTTACTCATCGATTCCATCAGGGCCAACAACAGAGGTTGATTAGAATTTCAAACTTATTTTAAACGCGGAAGGTCGTTTTAGGTTTTCCAGAGAGAGTACCTTTCCGGGATTTCCGGCGAAGGTTCGGTTGTCTGGTTGAAGAGAACGCATCTTCCCTTGATGAAGCATTGGATGATAGAACTGCTGTTGCACGTATTTTGGAAAAAATGGACATTCATCAGCATAGATATCGCTTGGGAATGAGCCAAGTTCTTTTAGCCAGTGATGTTCTCACGGAACTTGAAGATAGGCGCGAGCTATCTTTGTCCGGTTTCGTTACAGCCCTTCAACGCGAATGTCGTCGCCATCTCGCACAGAAATGGATTCAACGTAGAAGAGTTTTGGAGACAGCTATTCGTTGTATACAGGTTACTCCTCTTACTTTGTTCAAACTTGAATAATTTTTTTTTTTTAGAAAAATGGTTGTGCATACATGAAAGTCAGAGAATGGCAGTGGTGGAAACTATACACCAGAGTTGTTCCCTTACTAGCTGCAACCAGGTAACCATCCTTAACATACCCGTAAAATAAATACGACTTTTCACTCAGATTTTTTCTTTACTTCAATTTTCAGATCTGACCAGAACAACAGTGAATGGGAAGCTCGATTAAGGCAACTTGAGAAGCACCTCTCTGATATGCGAGCATCCAAAAATCTCGCTGAAGAGAAAGTTGAAGAACTGGAAGAAACATTGGCTCGTGAGACACAATCAGCTCAGGAAACTGCCAGTGCTCTTGAGAGAGAAACTCAGGCTCGCATACAGCTAGAAAGACGCTTAGAAAAGTGGCGTGATGGAGGTTCATTCTTTTCGAATTTTCATCCTTACTTCTCATCCTTTAGGTATGGGAGATGACGTAATCAGTAGAGTTTCCTCAAGTGCTCAGTTGGAAAGCGAGGACCGAGAGAAGGTTTGTTGATTTTTAGATAAAATTAGCATATTTTCAAAACTGCGTACGATGTCACGCTACCTTCATTTCTCCATACGCAATTCACGCTTGATTCAATTTTTTTTCTAGATATTAATTATATAATGTTACAGAAGTCTGAAATAGTTAGAATGAAAGAAATGGAAGAACAAGCCCGAGTTAAAGCACAACGAGCAATCGCTCAGCTCCAGGACGTAGAAGCTGAGCTTAATAAAGTACGCGCTCGTAATGAGATTTTAGAGAAAAAACAAGATCAGTAAGTAACGAACGCCGAACCGAACTTCTATCATTGGTTCAGGTTTGACCAGAGTGTTGGAACTGTTGAAAAACAATTGCATGAAATGAAAACTGAGAAAGAAGCCATTGAAAAAGAGAAAGAGGAGCACCAAATGAACTCTTCTCGACGGGCAAACGAAATAATGGTAATTGATTACTGAAGTGAAGCGAAGCATTCTGAAAACTTTTTAGACTCTTAAAAACGAGTTAACAGATATAAGAACAGTTGTCTCTCGTCTTCGACGTGAAGCCGAAGAGAGGGATGGAAACATCAGTAGCAGTGACGAAGCTGCGGTTCTTCAAAAGGAAAAACGGGATTTAGAACAGAAAATCCGTGAACAAGTATTGTGTTATTCCTCAAACCACTCTATTTAATGAATTAATATTAGGAAGAAGAAATGGATGACTTGGCTGGACAAAATCATCTTCTTCAACAATCAGTTACCAGATTAGAGATGGGTGCTGAAAGATTGAAGACAGATCTTGGCCGAGAATCTAACGCTCGTGAAACGGAAATTGATGAGCTAAGAGCCCAGTATCAACGCCGTGTTAGTTCCTTCTCGTTTTTTCGTAATACTTTTTTTTTAGTTAAGAGGAATGGAAGATCAGCTGGCTGATGCACAGGACAAGCATCAAACGTTACAAGCAGAGAATCGTCTCCTGGAAACCAGATTGAGAAAAAATGATATAACAACTCACAAGTATAGCAACTTTTTTTTCTTATCTTCATTAATTTTTTTTTAGCTTCGAGCTGTCGGGAGGTCATTATCGTCGTGAGTTACGGAAAGCTCTAGCTCTTTTGGCAGATACTCAAGCCTTATTGGCACACGAGAGAGAATCTGCTCCGTCTCAAGCTCTGATAAGACAACTGAGGTTTCAAAAACTGAAAGTAAATGAGTTTCATAATTTTGTTCAAGAGAACAATTGGAAGATGCAGAAGCTGCGCGTACCAGTGCTCTCAAGAGCAGGCATAACTTGGAAAGTGAACTGAATGAAGTCCGGGCTCTGGTGAGATTTCTATTTTTGCTGAAAGTAGTATCGGTTTCACTTACAGCTTGATCAAACTATGGTTGCCAAAAATCATGCTGATGAACGAATTTCCGCCCTACTTCGTGACAGGAATAGTGGAGCCGCACTCGTTCAAGAGAAAGATGAACAGCTTCAATCAGTCCTGAAGAAATATAAGCAGGCTTTGCAGCAGAATCAAATTGATCATATAACTATCAATGATTACGTCGAACAGGTACAGATTTTGAACTTCAGATGAGAGTTTTGATTCTATTTAAACAGATAGCTGATTTGGAAAAAGCCAAAGCTAAGCTAGAGTGTCGCGTGAACGATTTGGAATCTGAATTAGAGTTCAACCGTATTCATATGGTCGAGAAACACCGCCTTGTGCTAGCTGAACAAAAGATTAAAGATACTGAGTCTAAAGTCGAATTAGAAGCTGCTCACAAGCTAAGGCTAGAGGTTATTTGATGTATCTGTGAACGTTTCTAATCTATTTGTGGTTTAGTCTATGGTTATCAAATTGACTGATGAAGTGGAGTCTCTTACTGAACAAACCAGAGAACTGACAACAGCAAGAGATAAGGAAATCGAGAATGTGCGGAAGACAAAGTGAGGAATTATAGAAGTTTCGTAATAATCACAGATCTTGTTCAGAAAAGAATCTGTTCTTCTACAAGAATCAATAGAAGAATGGAAAAAGAGAGAGCTCGATGCTGCTGCAAAGCAGAAAACTCAGGTTTCAATATGTTGAGAACAGTGATATATTCGAAAAATTATAGCGAGATGACACTGAACGTCTTGAAGAACAAATTAAGGTGTTGCAAAACGATCAGAGACTCTCTCAAAAGCGAATCGAGGCTCTCCAAGCTGCGTTGAGTGAAGGTCTTGGTGAGGATGACGATGAAGAAAGTGATCTAGATGAAAGAGATGATCTCGGAACTGGGTAGAGTTATTTCATTTCGAAATGCAATGTTCATTACTTCTTGTATTTCAGAATCAGTGTGTTATAATTCCGATCCCTGCTTACGCCTTCTTCCCCAACATTCCATTTCTCGGTTTATTCCGGAGCTTGAGCAGATCAGTAAATGCGATTCCAGTTTCTTCCTCCAAAATTCCAAATCTATACCATCTAATCAAAGTATTTCTTTCCAGTATTTATTTGTATGTTGTTCCATAAGGTGATTCCAAATGCGGTTCTCATAGGAAAAATAGAAAAATTCTAAATTGTTAACAGCAATCGCTCTCTTACAAATAACTATTTTTAGAATGATTTTACTAACAGAACGTCCTGAAATAGTCTATGTATATATCAAAAAACTAACGTGTACTCTTCATGCTGCCTGTTTGAGACTTGTTCATTCCTGTCATCTTAAATAAATATTTGAGTCTAGCTTGAAACTTTTTGAAATTGGTTTTCTCTCTTCCACTTCTCTGTCTCACTTTGTGTATAAACGCTCAGGAAGGTTGCATTTTCGTTATCTCTCATCTACGCTTCGTAACTCTTACTCTATCTCTAACTTTCTGCTTATTTCTCTCATTTTTTGCTCCAGATTCCTGAACAAATCGATCATCCACAACATCATAAGAACTTCACATCTTCAAAGACCTACTGTTTGAATTCCGAATTTCATAATGCTGCATAGTGATGCCAAACTGTATACTTTGTGATTTGACACCTTGGTGATATCACTACGGTGATGATCTGTGTACCCGTTATCACAGTTTCAACATTTCTTTCTTCATTAGTTGTTTGTTCACGTCTCTGATGTTCTTTATCAAGATTTCGTAAATGGAAAATGACATAAAAGAGACCAAAATTCATGGTTTTCTATCAGGTAGACAAAATAACTCGTTTCAGTCTGTTCATGTTGTGTGTGTTGTGATTGTTTCATACAATTGCATTGATTTTATGTTTTTCTCCTTACAGACCATGAAACTCTCAATCCTATTACTAGCATGTGTAGCTCTAGTAAGCTCATACAAAATGGTTTTTTTCACTTTGGGAATGTCTAAGAGTCAAGTTAGTAACCTGGTACATATTATTCAACTTACGCTTTTTTTCAATTCAGATTCTGTTGAATGCGAGAGTAGCGGAGGCATTAATGAATGCAGGGCATGATGCAACGCTTGTTCTCTTAGAAATTATGGAAGGAGTTGATAACAGTCAGCTGAAATTACCGAAAGGATTGAAGGGTATAGAATCGTTTCTCAACGACATTATTATTTTTGTTTATTTAGTTGTACCAGTGAATTGTTCCTTAGGGCTACATATGAAAGCAGCTGAGAAAGAACAAGAGTTGATATTCAAAGTAAGTTATTGTCGTAGAAGTCTGGTATAACATGTGGTTCAGGATACCTCATTTTTCGATAGCGAACAAAGAGCAAGTTTAAGCAAAAAATTGGAATTCATGTTGAAATCTTGTGATAGTAAGATTTCCGACTTAACAAATTTGAATATCTCTTTTACAGAGTTGATCAACAATGATGAGCTTTTGAGTTGGCTCGAGAATGAAAAGTTCGATGTTGCTTTCCCTCATATGTATGATCTCTGTACTGTTGGACTGATCCACAAGGCTAAGATTCCTTCTTGGATTTGGCTTAACAGGCAAGTCAAACATCTTGTGGTATGGTTGATTGTATGTCTTTTGCAGTGGAAAAATTATGGACTATGTCGCTAAAATAGTTGGAGCGCCCATCATACCTAGTTATGTTTCTCGTGAGTTAAGCATCAACTTGCATGTTTTACTATTTCCTCATTTTCAGCAATGATGATGGAAGCTCACGATACTCTTAATTTCAAAGAACGCGTGAAGAGTTTCTTCGGACATGCATTGATGGATATAATTTGGCCGAAGTGAGTGCTCACTCGATCTCTTGTTGCTACATGATTGCTTCAGAACTGTTGCCAATCCTGAGACGGAATTATTCAGAAAAAAATTCGGCTCTGACTTCCCTGATCTCATTGAAGTAGCTAAAAATTGTTCTCTGGTCCGTTATATAGTGTTGAACTTCGGAAATCAAAACCGAACCCATTCAGGTCTTTGTCAACTCTCATGATGTTTATGGATTAGCTTCTCCTACATTGGGAAAAATTATAAATATCGGTGGAATAGGCATGGATGACAAGGCGGCTTCGGAGTTACCAGAGGTTTGTAAAACATTCGTTCTCAATCAATATAATCTTAAGGAATTCAAAAAAATTGTTGATAAAGGAAAAGGTACAGTAATCATGTCTTTTGGATCGGTTGCTCCAGCACATAAGATGCCCAAAGAATGGAAACATGGACTATTGGAAGCTTTTAAGGCTCTACCTGATTATCAGTTTGTTGTTCGGTACATGGAGAATGACTTAGACGGTATGAATTCATCAAATTAGGCTCTCAGAACCTTTTTTAGAAATTCTTCCCTCTAATGTACACTTCTACAAATGGTTACCTCAATCAGATTTAATGCATCATCCCAAAGTCAAGGCTCTTATCACCCATGGTGGATACAACAGTATGCAGGTATTATTCGTTGTGAAATGAGTCTTTTACGTTTCTTTAAAGGAAGCTGTTGCTGCTGGTAAACCTTTGGCTGTTATACCTTTGTTCGGAGATCAACCAAAGAATTCCCAAATAGCGAAGAAACATGGCATAGCAGTTGTACTACAAAAATCAGAAATTACAAAAGATGTTGTAGTTGAGAAATTGACAACTTTGCTCACCGATCCAAGGTATTTCTACTCTCAAAACTCAGTTTGAATTGGTTTGTTACAGCTATTCTACAAAGGCCGCACTCATGAAGCAGCTCACCAAAGATTATCCTTATAATCCATCTGAGCAGATTGTACAATGGACAGAGTATGTAGCCAAGTTCAAAACTCTTGAATTCTTGGAACCTGCTGGTATTCGTCTTGGCTGGATTCAATATCATTCCCTAGATGTCCTACTCTTCGTTTCGAGCATTCTTCTGCTCACTCTTTTCATAATATTCAAAGTATTACGGGGCATTTATAATTTAATTCGTTGTAACAAAAGAGTATCTAAATCTAAAAGCGAATAAATCTTTGTACATTTGATGAATTTCATCTTCAATTGAAACATTTCAATGGTGATTCGATGGAGTTGCCAAACTATATCAATCTTGGTCGTCTTAGATATACAAGTTCACTTTTATCGATGAACATGTGCAGGCGCTCTTACCCAAGCAACAGCGATCTGAGAAGGATCAATCTCTCATTACGCTGAAATTCGGGCAGACTCGACAGGAAGACATGTTTCTTTCTGATACCAGTTGTTCATGGTGTTTATATAGTTTGGTCGCACACTGGAAACTAATTTCCAACAATTAAGAAATTTGAGAAATTCTCTTTATCTATCTCGGTACTCAAACAAATTTGCACAAGTCTGTTCAATGTATCAATGGTAAGTCTACAATATGTCATAAAAATTTATTTATGAGAAGAAATTATTTAGAAAGCGAGGCACATCTTGGGAAGACGGAGCTTGTGCTCGTAAGTCTCCTCG